AGTCAATAACAGCTCTGCTTTCATTGTAGGCGTACCACCAAACATTATCCAGAGATTTGGTGCTACGTCGAATATGGCTGCAGAGGCCTTGCAGATACAAGGGTGGAACAGAACTAAGAAATAGCTGCTTGTCTGTAACTTAATTTTGGTGCTTTGTTTTTTTTTTTTTTGTTTGTTTTTCTTCACGTCTGACTCCACAGCTTTGTTTCCCATCGTGCCGAGCCTGAATGACCTCTTGCTCAAAATATGCCATTCCTCAAATACATTGCCTAGTACTGTTTTTAGCCATGCAGAAAACTCTTGGCTGGATAGCAGATTTTCATTGAAATTACATTTACCCACGATTTGGCGTATCACCCCAAGGTCTGTTTGCAACATTGTTTTTAAGTGGTCTGCTGTCAGGATGGAACTAATAATGGTTACAGCTAGGGCTGGGCGATAATTCAATAACGATATATATCGATCGATAGACGTGTGGCGCAATAGAAAAAAAGAGAGTTGATAAAAAAGAAACGCAGTTTTCCTTCCTTCTCATTGTAGCCTAGCATGTAGGTTTATGCTAGTCACTACTTCCTCCCAACCAATCACAATCGCGGACCCGGGCACGCTGTCACAAAGCGCCGCCCTCTCAAACCACAACACAGAGCACATGAAGATGTCGCAGCAAGGAGAGGCAGAGGAAATTGTTCCAAAGAAGGGTTTTTGCAGTTCGGCAGTCTGGCAGTATTTCGGTCATGGCAAGTCGGACAAAAATCAAACCACAGTCATCTGTAAGATGTGTCAGGAACCAGTGAAAATGAAGTCTGATAACACAACCAACTTTTTTTTTTTTTTTTTTTTTTTATCATCTCAGACGCTCACACCCGCAGGAGTATGAGCTGTGTAGGCCCTGGCGCGGCTCTCCTCCGAGGAATCTTCGGGAATTTCGGGAAAATATATATATATTTTCAGTTCTGGGCAGTTTCCCACGTAGTTCTAACAATTGAGAGAAAAATGCTGAGAGGCCAGAAACTTGAAAGTAATAACTCAGGTTAAAGCAGGAAACGGGAGCTGGGGCGAAGGCGGGGGCGGTGAGGGGGCATTTATTTATTTGCTATATTTATTTTGGTCACTTTTCTGGTCACTTTAATTTATTCTTTGTCAGTATTTAATAACATAACCCAGGTCTCTTAAGTTATTTTTCTTTAAAACAATTCTGTTATGGTTAAAAAAGTTGGTTAAATAAAGATTTAATTCGAAGTCTGTGTTTGTGTTTTTTATTAAAATTTAATCATTTACCAATGTTATAAAAAGTCCAGGCAGAGCTGCACATAAAATATGGTTTCAAATCTTTTCAATAATTATCGATATCGATCAATATGCATTTTTTTTTAATCGATAAGCTTTTTTTCTATATCGCCCAGCCCTAGTTACAGCTAAGCCGATCGGTAAATGTCAAAACATTATCATGAATTATTTTAATTTCTGATATGAATTACAAAAATAAAATCCTATTTGTGACTTGGTGACAATTTTAAGACCTATGAAAGACTGTAATGAAGAAGAGAAAAGATCAACTAGTGCACTATATTCAATAGATGGGATGAAAATATCCAACATAAAATACAGAAAGCTTTATGAAAGATTTACAGGGCAGAAATTGAAGGTGAGCAGGCCATCAGTAAAATTAAGGTAATGAAAAACTCCTTGAACACTAGGATGTCTCAGGAAAAGTTGGGGGTGGTTAGGAGTCATTTTATTTTTCACCTTCTGCCTCCCCTCGAAAAGCCCTGATCTCATTCCAATAAATACCTCCCAACAGGAGCCTGTTTAGCTATTTAGGTTTGACTGGGGTCATAATATATATTCCATATTAATAAACTGTTATAGTGGTGTAAGTAACAGAGGCTCTAATACATGCTATATAAAGAAAGATTCAACCTAACATTTAAGCACGTTTGTCAAGTATTATTGCTATAGACGATGATAAAGAAGTTAATCGACTCAGATTTAAGTGAACTTGGTATAGTTTGTCTGATAACAAATCCGTACAAAATAAGGGACATGACCTGACCTGGCACTCTCTCCCTTGAAGGTGAGTGCTATGGCATTTAAAAATGTGTGTGCTTGAATTAAAAAAAGACTACTTAGAAAACAGATACCTAGAATACGGTGACCAGACACCCCCAATTTCTGGGGACAGTCTCCGTTTTGGACCACCTGTCCCCGGCTAAAGCCATCCCTGGAAATTAACCTTGAGGTGTTTCCCAGCAGCCAATCTGGAAGGGAAATAAAGCTGGTCTAATCAGATGATACATAATGGACAAATGAGCGTTGTCACAATTTAAATGGTTTTCTTGTTCATTATTACTAGTTTATTATTTACAAATTTTTCTGTAAAATATCCCCAAAATAGAGTAAATAAGTTCTATTTTACAGAAGAACTAGTTAGCGTTCACCTGATTAAAGGTGACTGTGCTAAGTGAAGCAAATAATCTGCGTGTTGCAGTAATCTCTGCAGGACAAGACCCATCGAGTTTAATTAAAAATAGTGGTTTAATCTAACCATTAATAGTGTATATATATATATATATATATATATATATATATATATATATATATATATATATATATATATATATATATATATATATATATATGTGTTATTGGAGTGTTGCAAGCTCAGGTTTTAAGGTAACGCTTCCCCGTGTTTACCAGGAGAGACAGCTTAGTATCAGTTCGCACTTCTTATTGTGCATTTTCAACGACGCTAACACTAATTTAAGAAGTAGTAATGAAACTAGCGTTGTTCATTTAAATAACAGATTGCATTCAGCCGTAAAACCGCGAATACAAAACGGGTTATCTGCGCTACATAGGTGAGTTTTTTCGTTAGGCCACAAGAGAATTGCTAATAGTTTAAAGCGATCGACATTGTTGTCTGCTGCTAGCCTAGCTAGCCGTTAAAGTGAGCCACATAACAAATGTCTGCTCTCAACCCCAGCTGTGTTTAAGGATGTTGTCTGGGAACATAAAAAGCTGAAATATAGCATACCTTAATTATATGTTACAGTTCTTCAGTAGTTGCTATATTCGATAAGCTACCATGCTAGCATGAGATTCCATTTTCTTTCTCCTGCTGCATGACATCTCGCGAGAATTCAACAAAAGCGGAAACAACGTTGACTTACCAGAGTGGGGAGTAAATAATGGACTTTATAGGGAACTCGTTCGGACAGTTTTTTACAGAACTGTAAAATGGTCTAATTTTGTGCCTTAACCCTTTTTTATATGGCTTTTAATGTTTTTTTTGTTCATTTTAGTTTATATTTTCGTTATTGACATTGTAACAAATCTGCTAAAACTGGTTTCAATTGTACACTACGCTTTTAAATGTATTTTTTGTGAAATCAAAAAAAGATAATAGCATTTGATCTATACTCTGTGTCAACCCTGTCATATGTTTGGTTTAAAAAGTAAGCTTGTTTTGTTAAAGATACAAAATAAGTAAATTTTTGTTATCATACTCATGAGACAATATGAAATGTTTTAGTCCAAGTCTCAACTCAAATACTAACAACTTAAAAACAGGGGACTATATAGTGGACTTTATAGTGAACTCGTTCGGACAGTCTTCCCAGAGCTGTAAAATAGTTAGAACATGATGGATAATCCTGCACTATTCTAAACATATTTTGGAATAATTTCTTATGCTGGGGAAGGATAAACAATTTAGAAATTCCTATTATATATTACAAAGTAATTAAATTTGCTGGTATAATAGAGAACAAAACCAAAGAGTCCCTTTTTTTTTATAATCTTTTTATGGCTCAATTTTTTGTTTATAAGTGTAACTTTGCCAAAATTAAAACGTTTATGATGCTGCTCGCCGAACAATGGCAGCCCACTGCTCACCCAGAGGATGGTTAAATGCAGAGATACATTTCTCCAATGTGAGATTAATAATATTAAATTATTATTTCTTACTGATCTGGCTATATTTGAGATTATGAAGCTATGCAACCCACAAAAAGCACAATGTTTAATTGTATAGAGAAATCTTTTATGTTACCCCAGCTGGCATTTAGTTTGTTTTATATCACGTCTTACCCTTTTTCATATGGCTTTCAATGTTTGTTACTTTCAGTTTTCATTTTTATTATTTACATTGTAACAAATCTGCTAAAACAGCTTTTAATTGTACACAAAGATTTTAAGTTTTGTTTTTTTGTGAAATAAAAAGATAAGAGCATTTGATCCATACTCTGTCATCCACATCATATATTTGGTTTAAAAGTTTTTTTGTTAAAGATACAAAATAAGTCAATTTTAGTTATTATACTAATGAGACAATATAAGATGTCTTAGTCCAAGTCTAAACTTAAATACTAACTACTAATGAGACAATATAAGATGTCTTAGTCCAAGTCTAAACTTAAATACTAACTACTAACTGCTTAAAAACCCTCCAATGCGTCTTAAAACCCATCTGCAAAGAAAAGTAAAGCAGCATTTGAGGATTACAATCTAAAAAACTGGCAGATTTTAGGAAGAACTGATAAGCATGTTACAGCAAAGCACAAACCAAGCATTATTTAACAGAGAGTTAATGCTTTTCTTCCCAAATTGCCAGATGCATCCAGATGTTTTTTTTTTTTTTGATAAAATACATTTTATGCAAACCGCCATTTGAATTTCAGGAAGTTTGCTTTTAAATTAACATTTGTCGATTTGGAGCATTTAAAAATGAACGACAGAACTACAGATCTGAATGAGGGGTTTCAACCTGAAGCAGAAAAAACTAATTGTTTGCAAGGTTTTGCCTTTGTCTCAAGAGGAATTCCCCTCACAGTATGGCATCATAGTTAACATACAACTATGCGACCTCCGGTTTATGCATTGATTAAGAGTCAGATAATCAGCAACTACTGTGTTTGCAGCATTATGATATACACCATAATTTTTTAAATGTCAGAAACCTTATTACATCTGTACGGATCAATAAAATAACTTCAGCAACATTTTCTTCACAAGTCCATTTATTCTATTTACAATATGTAGACAGTAACAAGACAAAGCTCAACACAAACATGCTCACAGGAAATATATGGCCAAAAAGAGATTTATATTTAGGTCTACTCAGTTGGACACTTTTTTGAGGGGATTTACATCTGCTTTGGGTACCTTGCTACACAAAGACTTCACTAAGAGCTGACATTCGTGTGAAGAAGTTTCATTTCAAATAACTCTTCTTAAACACATAGAAATGTGATTGCAATAAACAATACTATAAAAAAAACATGTAACACTATAAATATCGTTCAGGTATCTTCATACAAAAACTGTACACTTTAAATTTTGTCTTTTTAATAAATCTTTTTCTTTTTTATTGTAAATGTGTAGCTATACATCACAGAACTACAATACAAAACTGGTATGAAACCAAAACGCCACGACTGACATGGACTGAAATGTATCATTGAAACCTGCACTACCCAACATGGAGCAAGTGTGTCCGAAACCGCAGAAAGAAACCTCTCAGTCAAAATAGTTGGGATGGCACCATATTTGTGTATCAGTGTTGAAGGCTGTTTCAAATGTTTTGTCTCACAATATGGAGAACAATCAACAAAAAATAAAGAACAGCAGCAAAGTCCTGTAGAGCAGCATTGAAAAAAAGGAAAGTAGGATCTATCCTTTGGGATAATACAGTTGGAGTAATAACACAAAACTGCCGAATTAAAACATTTTACATCTCGAGACAGACTACTTTCACATGATTAACTGACTGAAACACAGATGTGGAAACTGAGAAAGAACAGTCCAGTGAGCAGATATACACATGGGAATGGAAAAAGAAAAAAAAAAAAAAGTGATTTGTCATAAAGGTGCAGGGCATGAAGCACCAACTTTGAGGCCACCTGCCTCACATTCACTCAACTCGGGTGTCTGTAGTGTATCAGGTCACAGTGACGCCAGAACTGTCCTTGCTTTTGTCGGCATATGTGGGAGAGTTGCTTTTGTCTGATATGGAGGCCGTGGCTGGGGGACCGGACTGCACAGCAGGAGAGTGGCCTGATGGTTTGACCGTCGCCTCTGAGCTGGGCTCCGCCTCTGGCTCCTGCTGAGATGCTGTGGCTGGAAAAGAACAAAACAAAATGAGAGAGGGCAGACTTAACATCTCATTTTGACTGTTATCAGCTCATACCAATACACACACACACACACACAATACTTTGTGGTTATAAAATGACAAAATGGGGAAATTCCAAAAACTTGGAATGGTATTTTAATGAGAAAACTGTTGCTCAAGTATTTTTCCCTTAGATACATTCCAGAGCTATCAGCTGCTTTCAAGAGTCACCTAATTAATGTGAATAAACAGCATTACAGCAGGTTGGGGATGAAAAGTGTCTAGAAGCATGACTGAGTTCTAAACTAACATCCCATGTTTTGAACATCTTATGTAGCTTGACAGCAAGTCCTTTATCCTAAAACAGGTAAAGCAGAGTAACTGCAATTGCTCAGAACTTCCAGCAGACTGACTGGTTAGGCAAAGAATTAGCCTAGTAAACTAGCCCCACCCGCCAGCGGCCAAAATCATTTTTGCCTGCGAGTGGGACTAGCCTCTAACAATGCCCCAGGCCCTGGAACTGGCTGGCCAATCACAACGCAGAGATGTGTTTAGAATTTCTGGATGCAAAGCCGGCGGGGTTTTGAGGACGTGACAACAAAGCTGCGCGACACTGGAGAAAGCACAACAGGGAAGATGGCAACAGCTATTGAACAGTTCTCGTATGGCTCAGCTTTGGAATCAGGTTTGGAAGGATTAGACTTGGGGTTTTCGTTGAAACGTGAGCAGGAAGAGGCTCTACACTCATTCATTTTTAATAAGAACATATTTGCCGTTTTACCGACAGGCTGTTTGTTTACACTCCCCCACCAGCTTTCTGTCCAATAGGCACAGACGAGTTGTTCTCATCAACAACATTCTGATGTGTCATTCATTGGGGCCAGACTTAATTACACATTTAATCTCACATTTAGTCTGGTTTATCAGCCTAGCCAAGAATAGAAACAGAGGATTTAAGAGGCTCATGGCAACTTTGAAGAACCTCAAGAAAACCACAGCTGAGGTGGGATAACCGCTGCTATGCACTCCATAAATCTGCTCTTTATTGAAAATTGGCAATGAGAAAACTATAAAACCTGTTTGCCCAGTTTCCTTCACTGATTGTGGTGAACTACAAACACATAGGAAAATGTGTTCTGGTATTATCAAACCAACCAATAGCAAACACCATACCTGTGAAAAATGATGGTGGACGCACCATGTTATGAGAAGAAGTTTCATCAGCACATGAAATACAATGAGGTTTTTGGTTGTAGGTTTGTAATGTGACAAAGGTTAAAAGAAAAGAATAAGGAATTACACAGTCAAAATCTCTGAGAATAAGACTACCGTCAATATGAACATTTTGGGTTCTACAATGAAGCATTCGATTTCTCTAAATCAGTTAAGAGTTTAAAAGCTGCAGCAGCAACAGGCTTTATAATTAAGTTTTAGTTTGAAAATCCAAACCAAATCCAAAACAGAGAAAACATTTTTACCCGACTGTGTGCAGGACTTCATGTGCTCAGGCCAGTGTGCTTGCTGGCAGGGGTAATCACAGTAGCTGGTATTCCAGCAGCAGTAGAAGATGGCCTCCTTCCTGCAGTTGGCGCACCACTGTTTCTTTTTGGTCTCATCCACTGCCTGCTGCTTTTCCAGCTCCATCTGCTTTTTCACCTCAGCCACAAAACGTTCCCTTTCCTGCTCCAGACTCTGCCTCATCTCTGCCATCGTCAGCTCTGCGGTCAGTGCACAAATACACCTTAAACCATGCTTGATACAACAGATGGATAGAAGTTATAGTCACACAGTAGTTGGACACCAACCCAGATTGTGCTTCATCTCTGATAACTCCTGCTGATGAAGCCACTGGAGTTTTTCAATCTCTATCCTCAGCCGTCGAATCTGAAGCAGGAAAAAATAAAAAAAAAAAATCAGAAATCAGTTATGGTTGAATGAAAATACGACCTGATTACACAAGTAGGACTAAAAAAAATTCTGGTTTTGAGCAATCAAAGTGCATAGTTAAGACATTTTTTTTTAGCAAAAATACATTAAAGTAATTTTACCGATTACCTTCTCTTGTAAATTGAACTGAATAAACCTAAATGTATCCCTTTATATCGTATACAATCCCAGGCTTTAACTCAGATTTATTTGGACTTTGTAATTATGACAACTTATAATGGATTTTTACAACAAAATAACCTGATTTAAACTGAAGTTAGGCTTTGACTAGAAAAATTCACAAACCAGGGCTTTATTCTATCAGCTATACCATCTGGCATGTTTCATCTGTTGATTCTGATTCTGTAAAGCTTTGGTTGTCCAGGCGAAGAAAAAAAAAAAAAAATTACATTTAAAATTCAATAGGAATTCATATACATATGAATTATTATATAATATTTGACTCACTGAAAAATGTTGTTGTTTGTGGGGTGAATAGAAAACGATCTATAATTAACACTCCTTAATCTTGCCTCATGTATAAAACATGTCTGAGCACAAGAAAACATGCCGCGCAATGGTTAATGCAAAAAATTTGGATGTATAAAACCAACCTTACACGAAGGCATCTGGAAATCTACACAAACTTTTCAATTGCTGTTAAATAAAATGTGGCTCTACTCGGTCGTTAGCCAAAAACTCAAGTCTTTGCATGAGTTTAAGCTATTATAGTTCAAACTTCAGCAATAAAACAACAGTCACATTTATCCTCATAAAACACATGTAAAAAGGATGGAAACATTCTCATTTGGATGTGAACTGTGGATATTCTCCTAGCAATGCACAAAGGCCGGGGAGCAGGAAATCCACATCCACTTTCATTTTTAAAGGGATGCTTTCATTCTAACAAAAAAAAAAAAAAAAACTTGACAACTCAGCAAATTAGTTCAAAAAAGTCAGATGTGATTATTATTTTGGTGGATAAATATTGAATTATATAATAAGACATGGGACACAAATAGGGGAATATTTATGATGATGAACTAGGTCTTCATAAAAATGTCACAGTGGCCTTGGGTCTCCTTTACATGTATTACTATAATAATAATTCTAACTATTCCTAATATTACTGTGTTGGAAACAGACGCCCAATAGGTTCTAGGAATGAGGGCTGACATCCTGGTGTTTTTATCATCTTGTCCTGACTTCTTTTAAACAAATAGTGAAGCTTCCTTCTCTTTTTTTATGTGTTGACGGTGGTCCTAACAGTCTTTATGATTTGTTAGAAATTGCAGCAATGGGCATTAATAATTGAGCTCAAGTCAGCGGCAAATATATGAAATATTAAATTGTGGGCGGCACTGGGCATGTAAGAAATTCAACCAGCTGTGTTTGATTTTTCACCAGATTGGTATTATTCAAGGTAATATGTGCGGTAACAAGTTCATGGTTTTATACGTACATCAGACTTTTTTTTTTTTTTTTTAACCACGCCACAAGTTTTGAGAAACTTTTGGTACTATATGCAGTAATAACTCTAGCAAAGAAGGGCTTTTTTATTTTCCCTCCATATGGGAAAAAATAATTCACAGAAGGACCAACTTCTACAATGGTAATGTCAGGAAGCCGCCTTATAAGGAAACAACCTCATAACAGTTTAACGTATCAAGTACAGGGAAAAAACTGCTGCTTTAATTACTGAGGTTTTCTCTTGTTTCCACTACATTAGCAAACACTAAATGCTCCTGCAGGGCAAACTGACTTTTCCAGGGAAGCAAACTCCAATTTATCAGGCGCACTAACAGCAGTGCAGGTTTGTTAATGTAACCTTATTATCAAAACAGTTTAACAGCAGAGAGGTCAAAGAACGAAGAGGAATACCCGCAGTAAAGAGCTACACCAAGGGCTAGCACGTACTCTAGAAGGTGCTACAACACTCAACACCTCAGAACAGCCCATTTGCTCCCAAAAAGACCATTAAAGATGCTCCAATCTGAATGGGAGGGATTACCTCTGCAATTGTGTTTCCTGATGTACTTTTAGAAAGATCGTTGTAGATTTCCGTCATTGTCCCCTTTATTGTGTCCATAATCTGGAAAGTGGAAAAACATAGAAAAAAAAAATAAACATTTCAATTACTTTTGCAGTTCTGATAGTGTTGCCTTTTGTTTTCAATGTTGCATAATGTACATGTATGACTGACAGGAATGCGGACTTACTTTGTTTGTGTATTTGGCTATATCTGCTGCTACGTCTGCGGAGACTGTGGGGATCGGCAAGTCTGCTGACACCAAAGACGAGGCAGCAGAAGTGACCTGTCCCGCTGTCGAGGAGGATGCACTCTGAGCGGGTTCTTTTTGTTGCACTGCAGATGACAAAGATGCAGAATCTTAAAGGGAAATCAAACATCTTAACATTTCCATTTCAGTTTTTGTTACATATTAACCTAGTGTCCGTTTTTTGCATTTACCTTTGGCTGCTTGTCTGGTCTGATAACGAGTGCTGGAGGAGTTCTGCTGTGACTGCTGCTGGCTGCGAGTCTGACCCTGACCCTGACTCTGACCCTGCGTCTGGACAGCTGACTGCTCTTCGTGCTGCTGTCTCTGAACCTTTTGCATGTGCCATTTCTGCGAAGACGTCTGAAACTTATTGGGACTCCAAACAACTGCCCGTTGCACAGCCTGAGCCGTCTCTTTAGGCAGTAGCGGCCGCTGTTTTTTTACAGATGAGGGTGCTGTGGATGTGGAGGAGCCAGAAGGAGCACTGGTTGTTGTAGATACACTAGTTTGATCTGCTGCTGCACTGGAAACAAGGCTAAGTGCTGCAGTGATAGAAGGCTGCAAGGAGTCTTTCAGGTTGGAGACAGCTTCTCGTGTCGGTGTCCCTGATGCAGCAGATTTACCTAAAGAAAAAGCACAAAACAAAAAAAGGGGGGAAAATTATTAGCTTAGGAGTTCCACATATTCTGGATTCATTCATTTAAATTTTTTAAGCAAAGAAAATATAAAGAGGTATTAAAACTGAACTGAACAGAATATATTGCACACATAAAAAAAAGATGGGAAAATATTTAGAAAAGAAAAACAACTCCTTTATCCCTGCTTAAAGTTTGAAGTCCAACTGTTGAACTAAGATGTATCTTGTGCAAATCACTTTAGAGTTTTAGAGAGCATTCTTCTAATAATGCAATTTTATAATTACGACTATAAAGACACTTTCCAGAGACTTCTTGCAGATTTTCTTCAAGTTTCATCAAGCAATCTTCGATACACTCCTTCAGATCCGTATTTCAATTCATTTAAGACAGTTACTGTCAACAGGTTCATGCCAACAATTAAAATCCTGGTTTTAAGCCAAGCTTCATTAAAACTAAACGTAAGTATTTTCAAGGAGCTGACGGTAACAATGAAATGAAAACATTTGGGTTTTAGTTGCTTGAACATCCATGGGGACAGATTCAGAAGCAAGGTCGTCTTCTTTTTGGCAGGTTTGCAAACACTGAATGTTTGAAGAAATGTTACCAGTCCTTGATGACTTAGTGTATTATGATTACACCTAAATACTGCAGCAAATTACAACAACAAAAAATAGAATCATATAAAACATATGAAAGAAGCAATAAATAATGAGCATGCACATTTTGGAGATAATAAAAATCCAGAACTATTCAACCCTTTGATAGTAAAATTAAGATTATCTCATTAAGAGAAAACCTGAGGGAGCAAAATAGAAAACAGAGCTGTAGCCAATAAGTTTGTACTAAAAACTGAATGCTTGCAAAATTCCTAAAAGGAAAAAAAAAAAAAAAAAAAGAACGGAAAAAATATTGGTGTTCTTTAAATCTAAAATTCTTCTAATCTTGAGAAACCTAAAGCCGTTTTAATACATTTTCAGGCTGTTAAATCCCTGCTTCTAGTGCAGCAGGTCAAAAATAACAGAAGGATAGAAGTCTGGGGAAATAAAACAGACCAACTGTCATTTTATGCAAATGTTGTCAGAATGTCATTGTATTCTACCACAGGTGTTCGTACCAACATTTTCCCAATCAAGGCATTGCAAAATAAATGAATAAAAAAAAAACACAGGAAGCTGCGCAGCAGAGCAGATATGACCAGCACTTCATGTGAGGTTGATATTCTAAACAGAGTAAAACCATGAAGTGAACTCCAAAGCCTCACCTTCCACTTTGGCAGCATTGGGCTCCTTGACAGGTTTTGCAGCTGAAGAGCTCGTGTCTCTTCTAGACCTCTTTGAGTCCCGTCCTCCATGTTCGTCCCCCAGATCAATGACGAGCTCTCTCTCAGAATCAGAGTCCTGTTCAGCTGATGCAGCAGCTGCTGTTTTGCCCTCCTCTGTCGCTTTAGGCTTCTCATTGACTGGTTGGGGCTGAGGTGTCCTGGGTTTGTCCTGTAGGCCCCTTTCTGGGCCATTGCCAGTCTTTTCCTTGAGTGAAGCCTCTGCGGCTGCAGCTTTGTCCCCCGTCACTGTAACTCCCTCCTTCCCTTCTCCCTCAGTGCTCGCCTTTGACCTTTTTCTTTCTGCCTTATCCTTTTCATCCTGAGCAGAATTCTTTGACCGATGCTCTTCATCGCTGAGGTATTCGCTGTCGCTGGAGTCGGATTTCTCAGAGTCCTCAGAGTCACTGTGGTCCACGTCTTTATACACATCTTCAGAAATCTCATTAATGCCTGTAGAAGAATTAGAATTTATGTTTTTGGTTAAAAAAATGTATTGAGAAACATTAAAAATACCATTTATAGTAATCTGAACCAGATTTTTGGTGGTATTGTGTTGAAATAGTTATTTTAGGAGAGCAGAAAAAGCAACAATACAGGCTATTCCAAACTGCTGGCCAAAACGTATCAAGATTTTCTACAGTGGTACATCAGTATTTTGGAAAAATAACATATTTTTTATTTTATTTTGTTGTTTCCAAATCCATGTTTCAACCTGTTATAACATATACCAACTCTGTAATTACCAAGCTGTGCCTTGCAGCTTTCAATGGTCTTGTCCAGGCTCCTGAGGGGCCTCTTTGGAGTGGTGACAGTAGCCGGGGCTGCTTGCTGCTGCTGCTGCTGCTGTTGCTGCACCGTCTCGCTCAGCTCTTTCAGGTCCATTTCAGCCTTCACTCGATCTGGTTTAAACACAAATTAGAGAACAACCGTTCACCTTCCAAGTGCACTTTTACCACTTCAGCTAGGCGCATTTAGTCATTACCGGTCGCAAAGGATTTTAAAAGACTGACACAAAGGAGCAGAATTGTGGCATAGAAAGAAAGGGATACAAGTTTATAAGATTATGATTTTGAGTAAAGTCATTTCAAGGTAGTAACAGAAAAACAAACATTAAAGCCAACACTTTCCCCAGACAGAGAAAATAAAAACCACACAATCAGTCGGGTTGTGAGGGAAGTTTGGTCCGATTGCTTTTGCAGTTATGGAGGGTGAGTGAATATAGTACATAAACCAGAGGGTGAAAATCCTCATAATCCTGTTTTTATAACAAACGATCAGGCTGTGTGTAATAATTTGCATCTGGTGCGGCACATTTCCTCACATGTTTGTAATTAATCAAGCAAAGCAATAATTAACAAGCTAAACATAAACAAAAACTAATCATAACAAATCGTTACCTTTTGTTATTGTTCTTTATCTTCGTACAACTGAACAGCCAGTAGTTCCTGTTGATTATTGTGCTCAGCTGTTCCTAGCAGACCTCTTTATCTTTACATTTTTTAAGACTCAGTTTTGGGATCATAATCAACTGTGTTCCAGTCCTTAAATATTTTGGGCTAACCATTCCCCACCAACAGCATTTAGCCTTTTATTGGGAGTCATTAACAAAATCCCCATGTCTGCTATTCCTTTTTATGCAAAACCCCTTGCAAAGTCAAACGAGAGAAAGATGCAGATGGTCCGCATGAGAGATTTTTCTTTTGGGATAAATTGCGATTGCTGATTGGTCAGTTGCTGACGAGCTTCCAGTATTGGTCGATATTGGATAGTCTAAAGTGGTCTTAACCATTTCATTATGACCCCCCAGTGTCACACTATACTTAGCTCCATATTTAATGAATAGCATTCCCATAGAATAATACTTCCACCACTGTGGATGGTTAAGAGAATTAGGAAAGAAGATGTTTTGGTTCAATGTTACAAAGACATCAATTGTAAAAATCTTAACAAGTACTTAGGTTCCCAACAAGCTGATTTTTGCATGTAGGTTTTACGGAAAGTATTATTTCTTGACAAATGCTGGCAGGAATTAACCGCATGCTGTGTTTCATTCCACACAGTATTTTCTGTCATTGTTTTTGTACAAAATGACAAGACACATAGGCAAAAAGGAAACTCATTTTGGTCCTGTTTCCAGAGCACCTTCTCATACAGGAGTGGACTCCCCTGCACGGTACATGGCAAACTGCTTACAAGACCTTTCATGGTCTCATATTCCTTCTCCAGACTCTACAGTAGAGGCTACCTGAGCAACCAGAGCAAACCAATAGCAGTCCTGTAAATAGCGATTTTAACCTGAGCTGTGGAGCTTTTCTGATTCATGTTCCTTCTGAACCAGTCGGTTTAGCTCGATAAAGTTGTCTTTGGTAGAGTTTATGGTTCAGTTTTCAGATTAGCAGCGCTCTGTCAGACGTTTAAAGCCTGGGATATTGAATTCTAACCCATCTCTGTTTTATTCTTCTCCACAACTTCATTCCAAACCGTTGGTCTTCATGATGTCGTTTGTTCACTACTGTTATCTAACATCTGTAGCTTAAAGGTATAGTGGAGGATTTTCTTTTTCCAGGTGGATCATTTAAATAAGTGGTCCTCCTAATTAATCTTTCTGGTGATGTTTCTGCAAGGCCGTCCAACGCGCTCGTCTCCAGTTCACCATCTTTTTCTGCGCATGTGCACTTTCAGACGTATATGTGTGGTTGAGCTACAGTTTCAGCCAGTTATTAAAGCTCACCTTTCTCAACAGGGTTCTTTGAAAATGGCTGAGGGTCGTAAGAGAAAAAGTGTCTACGAAGTGTATGAGAAGAAAGAGTGGAGAGAGCAGGCCTTTTAAAAAAATTATTGAAAATCCTCCACAATACCTTCAAGGAAAGAGCCGTTTTAATACAGCGAATTAGATACAGGCTCACTAATGTTAGGGGGATTGGAGAACAAAGGACTGAGTAGAAATTTCGAGTACTTTAGATTTTTCATTCCATTGGTTATGCATCACTTTGGACTATTATTAAAATCCCAATCAAATACATTAAGGGTCTGTTGTTGTACCATACTCACAAATACTAGTATGTTTTTTTTTATACATTAGTGTTACTGACCAAGGTTGAGGTTGAGAATGCCTCCGGTCCCTGCTGTTCTCTCCTGCTTGGGAACCAGTGCAGAGTTTATGGGTTTTGGACTGCTGCTTACACTGGCAGCTGGACCAGCCTTCCCCGACACAGGAGAAGCTGTAATCGGATTTCAAAAAGAAATGTTTTTGCAAAACATCTCAAGGTAGCAACTTGATCATGACTGCCAGAGAAGAAAAAACTTGAGATGCAATATACCGGTGCAGTCCATGGATTCCTCTCCAGTGCTGTAGTGTAGGGCAGGGTTTCTGCTTGCCTTTTCCGCTTCTTGCTCCCCGTCAGACCCTGTGTGAACAGAGGAGTTGGTGCTCATCGGAGACCGAGGCATTTCTGTCATTGAGGCCCGTCGACTCATCCCGCTGGGGGTGGAACTCTTGCTGAGGATCATCTTGGGAGAAGAAGTCATATCGAAGTTAAAGCGGAGCTTATCTGGCTTCTCCGTTTTCACCGCCCCAGCATTTGGGTTATTGGGGTCCACGAGCATCTGGAGCTGGTTGTTGGGTGCATAGGGAGTGCGGAAGGGTGCGTAGTTAAAGACGCCAAATTTCTTGCGGATATTTTCCACATAGACCTCCATCTCTTGCATGGCACTGTTGAAAATGCTCTTTGTTTTCTTCACAGAGAAAGGGATCTCTTTGGACATTAAGTAGCAGTTGTTGATGGGAACCCAGGCACTACATAGATGAAGGAAAGAAGCTTAATGTATTACCAACTTTAAGAAAAGAGGAATTTTACTCCTTAAGTTCATCTTACCGATCATGTTGCCCAAAGAACCGTGCGTCTACTTGCCCGTCCTTTTCCCGAAGTGCTTTTGCTGGCCAAAAAGGAAAACCTTTCAGCTTAGCCCAAACCAGAGGGTGAGGCTGACTCTATTAAAAACAAGAGAAAATAAAAATAACTCATCAATTGTATAAAGTTTATAAATTCTTTATATTTGGTATTCAAAATAAGCTATAAACTTACACATGGCTCACAAAACCAGTTATCCCTTTTTTGGCATGAAGACAGGTAGCACTCAGGACACACCTCAATCTCATTCATCTGGGGAAAAAAACAACATTAATGATTCACTAATAAGACATCATAAAAGAAAAAAAAAGATGACTTTAGCCAAAACCTTTACCTCATGTTCACAGATCTTGACAATGACTTTCGCAGTCGTCGTTAGTTTATGATTAACTGGAACAAAGAAGAGACCATTAGTTCTTTTTCTCTGGGAATTACCAAACATATAAACATTTCTATATATTATTTATATCTGACAAAGTGGCCTACCTCCATTATAGATGATGCAGTTGTGTAAGATCCACTTCATATCAGCAAGAAAAGCCTCAGTGCAGCCATACATTTTCTTTTTGACATTCTATATAAAAAGTAGAAAAGCATATACATTTAATTTATGAACATGCATCATTTCTTTGTTCCTTCCATGCATGTTACTTTAATTCCTTCTTATTTAGTATTGTGATAAGTTTAGAAATCCCTGTACCTTTTCTATAGTGCTTAGATCCATGGGGTGGAAGATGTACTCTGCATAATCTGGGTGCTGTTCCAGGGAAACGGGCTTCTGAAAAGGCTCCGTCTATGCATTAAAGACAAGCATTGAAAAAGAAACAGTCAAATCTAGAACTTTGAATTGAATTAGCTCTTGCAACTACTGTTAAGCATTTGTCATCATTTAATGTTGGCCACAATGAAAACATGTTTAATAAGCTTTTTTTGGCAATTGCAGAAACTGACACTGGAAATGTATCTGCATGTTTTTGCCACTTCCTGGTGGCAAAAAATAGAAAATCTCATCCCTGCTGTTTTCAGCATAATAACTGCTGCTCTGATTTTATGCCGTAATGAAACACAGGATGTTAAGTTGATAGAATGTTTTCTCACAGCCACTCCTGACTTAAAAGGAGAAAAAGATGGAAAATGAATATTTTGTCATATCCCTTTTCTAGAAAGTCTAAGAAAAAATCAAATCTGCATCATATCAAGTGATGGTTTATTCATTAGAAAATTATAGCACAAGTGCAGAACAGTAGACTGTCCACATGTCTGTATACTTCTGAATAAAAGCAACCACAAAAGGTAAAAAGAAAACAGGTTTTAGACACTGACCAGCATACAAAAGCTGTGTGTAAATGTAAAAAGTATACTTGCTATTTGACTATACTATAACAAAACTTTGGGTGTTTCTAAATCTTCCAGTGAGATCATGCTACTGTATAAAAATAAACAAATAGGGCTTTAAATATGCACAACTTTACCAAGAACACTAGTAAACAGACTGATCCATTTCTGTAGGAATTTACAGTATTAGTTTGAAAGGATTTGATAGACATAAAGAGTAAAGCAGCACTCTTACCCCAGGCTGTTTGATTTTTTGGAGTGCAAATTTCAGCAAGTAGGAGAGCTGGTCTATTGTTAGCATTGTCATTGCTTTGCTCTGGGTTTCAATGCACTCAGCAACTGTTATTTTCTGAAAGAAGATTAAAAAAAATTATAATTACAAGAATTATTGTATCATGACAAAAAGAAAAGCAACATTTTCAAAGTCTGCGTTTACAGGCCACCTGAGCTAAATAAAAATAAAGATGGATTTGTTTTACATGTAAATCAAGCAGCTTTTTCCTCACAGCTTTAAGTCTGGAAAGTCTGTTAATAGCATTGAAACAGGCACAAACTGAGCCACAAATAAAGTTTTAAAAAACTGAGCTCGACTAGGAGCAAGTAGTTTTTTAATAAAAAAATAAATTTTAATCTGGAATCAAATTAATAGAACATTCAAAAACTAGAGATCATACCGTTTTTTTTTTAACACTTAACATTAAAAGGAACTCATTAGGGAAAGGCACAGATTGATGCATTATCCGTGGATTTGTCATTTTAGGTTTCATTTTACAGGAACCTTAGTCTCATGCCAAAACCCTTCTAAAGCAAATGATCCAAAAGAAAAAGTCTAGAATCATTTTTATTGAAATCAAGCAGCCTTTTTCAGATATTTGCATGTAGAAGATATTACACCTAGCTTTTAGCAGTATATTCGATGCTGAAGCCCTGCTTAGTTTTCCCTCCACATAGAGCTGCATCTCCATCAATTGGAATAAAATCTCATACCGATTCAACGGCAAAAAATAAAAACTCAAACTGTTACACACAGCAATATATTTTAGGTAATGATGATTATGGCTTAGAGGGAATAAAAACCCACTTATTCACTTCATCATGAGAACATTTTACAAAATTATATTTTTATGGGTTTTTTTGTTTGTTTTAAGACACATGAAGGCTTTTAATCACCAAACTGCTCACAACCCTCTTCAGGCTGTGGGATTCCCTGCTGCTTACCGGAGAGTATTTGTACGGAGCTAAATCAGTGACAGCTTGCATTGACATCGAATGTGAGATTTGGCCTAGTGGTTAGAGCATCATCATTTGAATTCAGAAGCTCTGAGTTCAAGCCCCACTCCCACGGACTGACACTCTGGCTCCCTGAGCAAGACCCTTAACCCCCCCACACTGCTCCCCAGGAGCCGCACAATGGCAGCCCACTGCTCCCCAAGGGGATGGGTTAAATGCAGAGGGTGAACTTCATTGCTCTGTACTTGTGACAGTCTAATGACAAAGGAAATTAAAACAAACACTGTAAAATCAAACACTGAAAATTCAAAATTGGTGAGGATACCATCATCTTCAGGTGCAGCATTTTTTCAAGGAGGGATGATTTTAGTTTCACTGCAGAGGCCCTGCAGCTGCCATGTCACTACAATCTAGCACTGTGGTGTCAGGGCTAAAATGAAGGCTCCTTCAGGGTCCTTTACCAATTTGGTTCTATTGTTAAAGTGAGCTCCTGTTTTTCCTTAAAATAAGTAAAGATCGTCTCTTAGCTTAGTTTGAAACCAAGCTTACTGGATTACTCATTTTAAACAGCCAGAAGATGAAACCAACAAAATTAACAACCTGACTTTGTGGTTTAGCAGTGGCAGAACCATCCATTAGTTTACCGCAGGTAGATGTCAAGGAGTAGCGGGAAGGAAAAAAAAAAAAAAGGACCCTGAGGTGCCTTCAGTTTAGCTCCAACCCCTAATTCAAAAACAGTGCTAGCTGTCACTGTCACTACCCGAACCGGCTCATTTGCCCATGTGCAAACAGATATTCATCCAGCTCACCATAATGTAGTCATGGTACTAAAAATACTCATTTATATCCTTAAATCAATAAAGAATGCTAATACAAATCTTAAAAACATTTTTATGACTTTTCTGAGATAATTTGATGCTTTTCCATTTTCTCTGTTAAACTGCTTGTCTGACATCATCGGACATGCTCAGAGTAGTCCGGCAAATTATGATAAAACAATCATTGTTTTCAGTTATTTCTTTCATTAGATTACGTACAATATACCATAAGGTTGACTCCCAAGGAAAAAATAAAACTCAAAATGACTAGATGTATTTATAGATCCAAAGGTGAAAAAGTTTACGCCCGGAAGAATCGTAAGATTCAGTTTCCAGTGCTGATCGGGCACAGACAAGTGATAAAACAGTTTGAACTTTAATTGCCAAATCTCAAATTCGATGTCAACGCAAGCGGTCACTGATTTAGTTCCATCATTTAGCGGTCTTAATCATGATTCGGTTGGCTATGGACATTAGCTCTAGGCTATAACCAACAAAATGAAAAAATGACTTTTTAAAAAAACAACGGTTTGTATAAATAATTCATAAAATACGCCAATTTCAGTTTATTTAATTAGATTAAAAAAATAACTTTTTTAGGATCATTCGAGATGAATGCAATTCTGTATTTTCAAGCAGATGCCCCTTTTCTCTGGTTAGAGGACAATATGTCCTGTTGTCTGCATGTTAAAGCATCATTACACCGATTCACACGTTTTCATTGGGACACGCCATTCTGTCATCTAAGCCATGCTACGGCCACACACAAACACACGTCTTCAGAGCGATACCTCACACTCTGGACAGAACCAGTCGCCCTCGGGCTCGGCTGGTAGTTTGAGGCACTTGGCGTGGTACACCCTGGGGCAGAGCTCACAGCAGAGCACCTGACCCTCGCGGTGGCACAGCCAGCAGTAGAAGTCATTCCTCCCGTCCTGCGGTACAACATCAACAGGGTCTGTGGTGAGTGCTGGCTGCTTCATATAGTAAAAGGGACCATGTCTTAGCTCTGACTGAAATGCAGGCAAGAGAAACAGGGGGCAGGTTTCAAAAAACACGCAGGAACACAAAAAAGTAATAAAAAAGGTGCAATGCAACAAAACAAGGTAGTACTAAGGTGAGGCAGGTAGGGTAAGCAGCACACGGGGCAATAAAAGCAATAAAACCTACACTATGGTGCTTTCTACAAACAGGTAGCTTCTACTAAGATATGCTCTAAATGTAAGCAAAAGGCTGATTTAAAAAAACTGTTTCATACCAATGCTTCTTTTTTGCAAGATATTGTTTCATAGCTGAAATAATTTGTAACTTACAAAACAGTTGTGTTTGTGCTCATGGTGAAGAGTCAAAGCATTAACTACAGGTGCTGGTCATAAAATTAGAATATCATGAAAAAGTAGATTGATTTCAGTAATTCCATTTAAAAAGTGAAACTTGTATATTATATTCATACATTACATACAAACTCATATATTTCAGATGTTTATTTTGTTTAATTTTGATGATTACAAATGACAACAAATGAAAATCTCAAATTCATCATATCAGAAAATTAGAATATTGTGAAAAGGTTCAAAATTGATGGCCCCTGGTGCCACACTCTAATCAGCTAATTAACTCAAACCACCTGCAAAAGCCTTTAAATGGTCTTTCAGTCTAGTTCTATAGGCTACACAATCATGGGGAAGACTGCTGACTTGACAGTTGTCCAAAAGACGACCATCGACACCTTGCACAAGGAGGGCAAGACACAAAAGGTCATCGCTAAAGAGGCTGGCTGTTCACAGAGCTCAGTGTCCAAGCACATTAATAGAGAGGCGAAGGGAAGGAAAAGATGTGGTCGAAAAAAGTGTACAAGCAAGAGAGATAACCGCACCCTGGAGAGGATTGTGAAACAAAACCCATTCAAAAATGTGGGGGAGATTCACAAAGAGTGGACTGCAGCTGGAGTGAGTGCTTCAAGAACCACCACACACAGACGTATGAAAGACATGGGTTTCTGCTGTCGCATTCCTTGTGTCAAGCCACTCTTGAACCACAGACAGCGTCAGAAGCGTCTTGCCTGGGCTAAAGAGAAACAGGACTGGACTGCTGGTGAGTGGTCCAAAGTCATGTTCTCTGATGAAAGTAAATTTTGCATTTCCTTTGGAAATCAAGGTCCCAGAGTCTGGAGGAAAAGAAGAGAGGCACTTCATCCACGTTGCTTGAAGTCCAGTGTAAAGTTTCCACAGTCAGTGATGGTTTGGGGTGCCATGTCATCTGCTGGTGTTGGTCCATTGTGTTTTCTGAGGTCCAGGGTCAACGCAGCCACATACCAGGAAGTTTTAGAGCACTTCATGCTTCCTGCAGCTGACCAACTTTTTGGAGATGCAGATTTCATTTTCCAACAGGACTTGGCACCTGCACACAGTGCCAAAGCTACCAGTACCTGGTTGAAGGACCATGGTATCCCTGTTCTTAATTGGCCAGCAAACTCTCCTGACCTTAACCCCATAGAAAATCTATGGGGTATTGTGAAGAAGAAGATGCAATACACCAGACCCAACAATTCAGAAGAGCTAAAAGCCACTATTAGAGCAACCTGGGCTATCATAACACCTGAGCAGTGCCACAGACTGATCGACTCCATGCCACGCCGCATTGCTGCAGTAATACAGGCCAAAGGAGGCCCAACTAAATACTGAGTGCTGTACATGCTCATACTTTTCATGTTCATACTTTTCAGTTGGCCAACATTTCTATAAATCCTTTGTTTTTATTGGTCTTCAGTAATATTCTAATTTTCTGATATGATGAATTTGAGATTTTCATTTGTTGTCATTTGTAATCATCAAAATTAAACAAAATAAACATCTGAAATATATGAGTTTGTATGTAATGTATGAATATAATATACAAGTTTCACTTTTTAAATGGAATTACTGAAATCAATCTACTTTTTCATGATATTCTAATTTTATGACCAGCACCTGTATACTGCCAGAAGCATTCCTGCATACATCCTAATTATTGATTGCTGGTGTTCTAGTTACTTTCAAATCTAAAGTAAAGTATCCCGGAGTCCGTTTCAAAAAGCAGGTTTAACAAACTCAGATTCAGATCCACAACTCTAAATTAATCGTGCCTAAGGTCAGGAACTCTGAGTTTTCAGTTTCACAACGGCTGCAATGAATTAGTTCAATCAACTCCAAGTAGGTCCATGCGTGTGCCTCTATGGCAGGCCATTTTTACATTTATTAAAAGCCCTCTGCTCTCTGTTGTTCCATTTGTAGATCACTAGAATAAGATTCTTCCTGATCTAAATCACACTCCTAAACTGAACTAGAATAATATTTTATAAATTACAATTTTGCAACATAAACTGAATTTCAGAAAAAAAAACAAAAAAGTTTTATATAGCTAGAAATGTTTACACATTTTAAGTGGTCGCTCTGACATTTATCTGCTTGACTGAATATGTATTTATGATATCTAAACTATGTTGTGAAGAGAGAGCTGAGCCAAAAAGCGAAGCTCTCGATTTACCGGTCGATCTACGTTCCTACCCTCATCTATGGTCATAAGCTTTGGGTCATGATAGAAAGAAAGAGATCCCGGATACAAGTGGCTCAAATTAGTTTTCTCAGTAGTGTGTCTGGGCTCTCCCTTAGAGGTGGGGTGAGGAGCTCAGTCATCCAGGAGGACTCAGAGTAGAGCTGCTGCTCCTCCACATCGAGAGGAGCCAGTTGAGTTCCAGGCACGTCGCACCGGGCTGAGGCCCAGGGGGGAGGCCCAAGACACGCTGGAGGGACTATGTTTCGCGGCTGGCCTGGGAGCGCCTTGGGATTCCCCAGGAGGAGCTGGCCTAAGTGGCTGGGGAGAGGGACGTCTGGGCCTCCCTACTGAAGCTGCTACCCCCGTGACCCGACCCCAGATAAGCGGAAGAAGATGGATGAATGGATGGAAATACGTTTCTTCAAAGTGAAAATAATACAAATGAAAACCAGTAACAATTGGAATATGTAGATCTAGAATAAATTCTAGACATCCACAATTTTTTATAGTAGATTAAAAGAGTGTCGTTTTATTTGAAATTGTCGTTCTGACAAGAAAAACTAAATGTTTTTTTTTTCCAGATATCAAGAATACCTGCTCAGCAATACTAATATATATGAAATTGGCTTGCCATAGTCTGTTAAGACCACGATAACATTTCGGGTTTATTTCTTGAATGGATCGATTCATCCATTGAGGAGAAATCATCTGGCAGCGGGTGACGATAAAGTCTAAAAGCTCTCTAATAGATGGAACCTGTTCATTATCTCATGGGGTTCAGTTTGATTCGGTCTTCTTTCACAAAGTAAATACTGAGTGGCTGTTTGCAGCAGCTTCGGATGTTATCCCAATAAATGGTCATTGTTATCGGCCATCAGTCCCATAGATGGCTTCAGATTGTGCCAGTAGGCTATTATCAAAATGAATCCTAATCCTAATGCAATTCCTTTTCCCTCCTGCTAAATTAATCTCTTTATGTATTATCTTAAAATAATTTCAGTAGTTCTTCATGCAACTACTGTGAAAATAATGAAGTGATCCGCATGTCGCTACTATTAAACAAACAAAAAAAAAAAATCTCATATCCCGTCAGCCCAGTTGTGGATTCCTCTCCCTTTAATTATCAGTGAAGAAAAAGCTGATCATTCTTTAATAAGATCCTCTTCAAACTAACATGCAACGTTTGTTAAAAAAAAAAGAAAAACACCAACAACAACAGTGTTTCTAAGGACCTAGTAAATGATTTTTTATTGTATGCAGAAAACTACAACCGGACTCTCCTGATTAAATCAGGAAATAAAACAGCCTGATTGTCTGTAAGGAGAGCGGAGACAGAGGACACCGAGTTTACTGAAGAAAACCTGCTCCTGAGCAGGTTAGCTATGTGGAGAATATTACTACAGTGACTGAAAAAGACGTTGAATAAACTATTTGTGAACCGGAAAAACTCAGAGTTTCCTATATTTCAGCTTAAACTCAAAGTTCAGTAAACCTGCTTCGTAAAACAAACCCCAGCATGTTAGCATGGGGACTGTTGCACAAACATTTAGGTTCTACCATGACTATACAGAAAACAAAGCAAGGCTCATAATGATATGAACAAGTGAGTTCTGATCACAACCTTACAGACTACGGCTGGGATAAACTAGAGGAGACTGAGCTGGGCAAACCTTACTAGATTCTGATCTTCTAGCAGAAGAATTCAACAATGTGTTTGAAGGCAAACAAATGCTTTTGGCAGTACAGTATAGTCAATAATGTGATGTCGTGAAAATACTAAATATAATCATGAATCTAAAATAAGATACAGGTATGTACTTATGACAAGAGAGGAATGCAATCAGGAGTGTCTGCAACATGTGTTTGAGTTTAACAGCATTTATGTCATTCAGTTTTCTCTCTGATTGCTCATATAGTCAGTTTGGGTAACCGGGTGCTTCTATACAGGTGATCTATATGACTCATTTCTGTGTGCATTAACATAGCTATTAGTAACTATTAGTTTTTGAATGTTTCACAAACCTATCAGTTAACAACGCTGACTCATACAGTTACCTCCAAAATTGGGCATAAGCAGCCCATCAGGCTATACATCCAGGAGCCTCACCTGGTCTTTGGTGTTACAGTTCACGGCCCCTGGCTTTTTCTTTTTCTTAAGGGGGCTGGGGGAGGTGTCTGAGGGAGAGTGTCCATTAGAAGAATGGGTGGGACTTGAAACCTTTCGCTTCTGTGGTGCTGCGGATCGTTCTGCTGAACCCGGGGCATCAGGGGCTGTGATGAAAAGGCTTGTGTCAATCAAATTCAATCGCTTGTGATATAGAGGTGGTTAAGTTACACCTGAAAAAAGTCAAATACAAACTAATGAAATTCCATAAAAGTTTTAAAAAAACAATCCACTGGACTTAGTTTCAGAGATTTGAAGACATGTTACCAAGCAATACAAGGCCTTGTCTATATAAAGACTCAAACTCATTGCAGATCCTTCCTGGAGGGGAAGCGAAACGTCTTCAAATCTTGGAAACCAAGTCCAGTGGATTGTTTTTTAAACTTTTACGGAATGACTATGACCTGGATGACTGAGAATCTTCATTAGCAAACTAATGAAATCAGCCCCTTCACATCACCCTCGCCACATAAGAAGAAGAAGGGCCCTGTCACACCTTGCAGATTTAGCCAGCGTATGCCTGACGTCCAGAAATTTCCTTAAACGCTGGCATACGCTGAACTTTCTATGTTTTTTTTTTCAATTTTAGCATATTTACAATGGGTCTAGAGCGCATGTCGAACGATAGCCTAACGCATAACGATTGCATAACGCACCGCAGCATAATGCCCATGAAATGATGCATAAGCCAGTGTCCTGATGGGGGGCAGCAATGCGCCCGGAGGCACCCGGCCTGCATAAAAAGAAGTCTTTGATCGCTGTATTAACCTAGCTGCTGTTTACTGCCCGCCAAAAACAAAAGAATAAAAAGGAAAAAGAAACAAAGAAGGTTTGCCGTCGTAGCAGATTCAGCGTCATGTCTGCTAGGACCTTTGTTGGTCGTGGGTGTGAACACAAGGATCAGTTCTGCATACGTTACACAAAAGTTACTCATAGGTTTTGGATAAGCTAAACACCATGACTTATAAGTAACTTACGCTTAACGTATGTCAACGATCAAATGAATTACCTGTAACTTACAGTATGGCCCATGTATCAGCATATGTCAGGAAATTTTGAGCATGCTTAAAATTTCTTGACGTACTCGCAGTATGTTGACGTGTGCCAGCGTGCTCATGACTTATATAAAACGTACCCATAACTTATCCAATGTATACCAGCGTTTTAGCCAGATTTTTCGTACGTCAGACACACGCTTTCTAAATCTTCAAGGTGTGAGAGGGGCTTTAATCCCTTCCTTGTCAAATGATGAATTAACTGAGATGAAGAGAAACTGTTTAATACAGCTGGTATGACATCCAGTAAGCTAACAGCTCAATGTCTCACTAAAGAAATTCAAGAAACAGCCACTAACATCAGTTAAAGGGTTGTAACCCCAGCTGATAAGAAAGAGAACTCCATCAAACACCCACTTGATGAAGAAAACATAAAACCATCCAATGAGTTTCTGATGCAGGCCTAAGACAGGCTAGTTAGGTTTAAATAACACAAAAATGTAATTTTTCTACTAAATTAAGAATTATCTGCAGAGAGAAGCAGTATAAAATTCTTCCAATAATAATAAAAAGAAAAAATATATATAACTGACATTTATAATAAGTATTTGGCAGCAGTTTCAGTGTTTAGAGAGCAGTTAACGTTCCTCTAAAGTGACATTAATTGAAATCTGCATCTTGTATTTACTTGGCTTACATTTCCTGACAATTCGTCTGAACATCCATCACATTTAGGCAGTTACAGAAAAAGGATTTCACAACCCTTTATATGCTAAACATTAGAGCCGAGAGGTGATTTTCATTTGAAATCTATCCTTTCACTTTGCTTACTTTACCATCATGATCATATTTCAGCACCATAAAGCCATTAACATACTTCCAAGAGCTATGAGACTAATTCTAACTAGCTTTTTCAATCTAGTAGATACATTTCAGACATAAAAACAAATGGGTAACAGGCTCCATCTAAAGTAAGTGAAATCTGTTCCGATTCCTTGATGAAAAAGAGGAAGAAAAAGGAATACATTAGAATGCATTAACCTCTCAATCCCAATAAAATAATCAAGCGTTCTCTGACACTCATGTTCGACTTCTGATAGGACATTGGAGACTTACCTTTCGATCGCAGAGAAGCGTCCATCCCCTCTACCACATCCGGCTCTTTCTTTATCTCCTCCTCAGCCAGACTGCACAGCAACGAACAGGAGCGCACAGGAACACAGGAAGAGGAGCAAACACAGAGTCAGAAACGGTGTTCAGAAACCACATCAGCGTTATCTGTAAACAAGTAGAACACCACCTAAGGCACTGGGTCCCTGAGGACCTGTCAACAGGGACTCCACCGGTTTCCATTGCTGTTTTTAAAAGCTCATTTGACTTGAACACGTCTTTGACTTTCAATCCGACGTTCAAACACGTTCCAGAATTTCAGCTGCATTCAAGACAGAAAATGTTCCTTATACTCCAGCAAAGAGACCAGTAACAATCACCATGGCAACACTCATCTTCACCAAGCAAGCAAAAAAAAAAAGGAAAAGGATGTTAACAACAACACACATGACTATTTAGCCAACGTTTCCATGCTCGTCAGCAGAGATGTAATAGTTTGCGATGCCTTTCTGACGAATGTTGAACAGACCTAAGGTAACGAGGGAGCAGTCCCATGCCTCTAAAGAGGGATGCCTCTCAGGGTGATTAATGGTGCATGTTTCTGCTAGCTTCCCGGCTACTTCAGTAACAACAGCGTTCCCTCTAAGGATCTGGGCCTTTTACTTGGAGACCACTGAGTTCATCAAAATATTACTACCAGGAACCCAGTAAAGATGTACAAACTAATGAGATTAAATTCCATAAATACTGCTACACCAACATTAACCTCTTCCTCTTTTGGTACGGATCAGAAAAAAAAAACAAAAAACATCTTGAATCGTACACTGGAAAAAAAAATCTAGAATAAGTAAAAAAACTTCTCAAATTAAGTGCATTTGCCCTTAATATGAGTAGGTAAATGAGATGTTTGCCAATGAAATGAGGATTTTTACTCTTAAAATAAGATATTTAGATAAAATGCACTCGAAATAAGACAATGCAATTGCGATTTTCTTATTTTAAAGGTAAATTGTCTTGCTTCACTGGCAAAATTTCTCTTTTATCCCCTGAATTCATGAACTAATGCACTTTAAGAAATAATGACTTATCTAGATTTCGATTTTTTTTCCAGTGTAATCACTCAAACTTCTTAAGCTTAACAGAAATAATCCAGAACTTGCTCCCCGTCTCTGCTCCTACGGCTTCTGGTTTCCTGTGTGGTTAACAAAAAGGAGAATCTGGCAATAAATGAGGGGCTTTGGCCTTCTTTTGTCCAAACAACACAGGGCCTCACTCCAAGGTTGTCCCCTTTATTGAAAAGAGTAGAGGAGGAAACCCTCCGGTGAACCCCTGACAGGTCACACACGTGATCCGTTTCTACCGTTGGCTGCTGCAACTCTGGTTTCCAGCTAAATGATATGGTTTCAACCTCCATGGCCGCCGTACGGTTTGATTTTCTCTTTGAAAACTAAAACAATGATCCTTACGCCTGCATAATTCATCTCTACAGAGACACTCCAAAGTTAACTGAAGTGTAGTCAAATAATGGAGACAATGCAAACCCAAAAACCTGAATGTGAAAAAGAGGAGCCAAAAATTAGACTAGATAAAACCACTTAAACCCAAACAGAAAAGCAGTTAGCTGGCAGAGCTATGGTTGCACCAATTAATCATTTGTGGTTCTTCAACTCAAAGACCAAACCAAAATAAGAATCAATTAAAACAGGAGAGACTTTCTGAATGTAGAAAAGCTTTTTTAACTTCTTAGGAAGCAATTAGAGACATTTTTAATCAAACCGAAAGAACAAAACATGGTCAGAACAGAATTTCTTAAGATATGACACATGGGGATTTTGTTTTAGCTTGCCAGCTTTCTCACCACACACACACACACACACACACACCCCTTCAGGGCCTTCCTGTTCCGGACTAAGAACAAACGAGGGCCAAATAAAAAAATAAGAGGCATTAGCTGAGTCTCAACCACAACCCTGGGAAGGAGAAAATGTTCGCCATTCTTCAGCAAAGCTGCACAACAACAACCTCATTTTCAAAACAGCGTTAAAAGAAATGCTGCAGCCACCAAAAGGACAAGATGAGCTGGAATAACAAGTGTCCAAAGGGATTTTTGTTTTTCCAGATCCATCAAGCAGGAAGACTTAGGCAAATAAATCCCCAGCAGAGAGTCAGATATATTCCATATAGATCAGAGAGAAAAAAACAAACAAAAAACCCACATTTCCCTTCTGAAAGCTCTGTAGTACCTGATGGACAAAAAGGAATAACACTGAGTCACTGCCTTCAGATTCCCATCCTGTGAGAGACGAGCAGGGTTCTCTCGTCACAGAAAATGGAGGCCACAGCTTGCTACCCTCCCTCCCCCCCACACACACACACACATACACTCTCCCCATCCCCCACTCTAAGGCTGAGACTCGGGCACATCCACACAGGAGGACCGGCGAGACATCTGTGGAGATTTCCGTCCAACATTTCTGGATAGAGAAAGACGGTCCTGTGAGGACAAACCTTCATGAAACCACGGTGAGGAGAAACAGGAAAATCCTGCATTACGAGCAGAACCAGACTGGACCCCCCCCCCCCCCACCCCCCCCACCCCTTCTTCCTGTATGTCTTCGATCTTCGTCCTTCTCTCCTCTGTGAGCACCACTGTCACAGAATAATCAGATGTGGTTTTGACGAACCCATTTCTCTGTGTGTCATAAAATGTAGTGTGTTATATTCACAAACATAAAAAAAGGCCATTTTCAGATTTGGAAATAATCCACCGTGTGTTAATTGATAATGGGTCCACCAAATAAACATGAAAAACACATTTAAAACCATTCAGAGACCATTTTACTATTACAACGCGACTAACACGTCTCACAAATATAAAAGAGGTGAACTCTTCCAGCTTAAAGCCACTTTATAACCTAAAAACCCAACATTTCATACAATTATGATTTTTACCTGCATTAAAAATGGCCGTTACATCAAAACCAGTAAGCATACTCAATCCTATTATTAATAGGAAATCCTGAAGGACGGACAGATATTGGAGCTGGATTTTTATATAAGGCTGTACAGGGTGAATCAAAGATGGCTGTGGAATTTTCCAGAAGGCCCTTGCTCTCCCTGCCATGCTCCCTCCGATTGTCAATCTTTAACCTCAGCTCTTGCTGCTATTGGCTGGAGGGCCAACAGGCTGGGACGCCATTGGTCGACCGCGCTGTGCCATAAAGATCAGTGTGCAGGCTCCCCTCTTCCTCTTTAAAAGGCTTTTTTTTTTTTTTTTTGCTGCAATGCAGAGATTTTTCTTCCTGCATTAGACGGTTTATCTTTACCTATCAGTTTAGTTTATTCTCCATCTTCATCAAGACATTCTAAAACCCAGAAAGAAAGGATTGTTTTAATAATATTTGTGGAAGATTAGTTTGTTTTGTATATACCGTGCTCTGCTGTTTAACATCTGTCGCCTTGTTGCCTCAGGAGGCCCAGATCGGTTCCTCACACCTCTGCCTGTTATCTCACCATCAAATGCATATAGTATATAATAATAAACCTGTTAAAAAGTTAACACTTTGGTTTTACACAGTGAATTAGTTGCAGCCTGAAAGTAAACCCTGACTGTAACGTTACTATTTTCAGGTTTTATGTAGATCAAAAATGTCTCTCATCAGCCCACGATAGAAAGAGATCTTCCTTTGTTTTCCCCACGCAACTGAGATTTCTATGGCGGTGCTACGTGACGTAACAACATTCTGCTCATGTTCCGATACCTCCAGCATGACACATCTGCTACCATTTTCTGCATCCTTGCATATATTTGTAGATCTAATCGAATTTAAAAAGGTTATGTAATGTTGACGTTTAATTATAAAGTAAGCCTGTCTTACCTTTGTGCGGCAAAGACAAACCTTCCTGTTCATTTCTGTTTAACGTGTTCAAAAACAACCAACAAAAAAAAAAGCAAATCAGCAAGAGGAGAACAAGAAAAGGAACTCAGCATCAGATCACAACATAAATCCTTTTCGGATGTTATACTATCACATGATAAAAAGATCTTCTTATAACTTATGTTGTGTCTTTGTCCTGCTGACTGATCTGTTAAAAGGAGGGTAAAGTTCTTTCAACATGAGCTGAAGACAAAATGGCCACTGTATCTGTGGGTGTGTGTGTGTCAGAGTAGAGGAAGCAGTTGCACAGTGTAGTCAGGGGCGGAAACCTCAAGGCCCATGACTCCAATAAGTTTTGTCTTGTGTTTTTTAGCCCCAAAGATTAGACTGAGGGGGGGAGAGGGTTCAAAAAGGGTCTGAAGCTGTAGACATTTTTTTAAAGACACTCCTATGTCAAAAAACAGGAAAGTCATGTAGGTTTCATTTTCAGGATATTTCAGACGTATGCTCTGAGCTACCTTTAATACTCCCAAGCCTGTATTGTTGCTGTTTGCTGTTCCTCCTTTGGCATGGCATAAGATAAGAGAGCACATAGCAGGCATACTTACAAAGGGTTAATATAACCCCCCTTGTTTCTCTACCAGGCTACAACTCAAAACTGCAGCAGCAAGGAGATGAGGGTGCAACTTTTAGATCAAGCTCTCTCTTGCCTTATAAACAAGAAAAAGAAAAAGGATTTGCAATGTTGTGCTCTGCCTGCTGTATGGTAGTCTGGGGCACTCATGTGACCCTGAGACACAGAGAGAGAGCAAGGGTGAGAATCATTACCCAACCCCCCAAACCCTAAAAAAACTCTGTGGAAGGCGCAGAGGCCTGCCGAGGCCTTCAATCCAGCCCAGCTCCTCCTCCTCTTCCTGCTGCTGCACACCAAGCTGACTTTAAAAAGGTGTGCACATTCATCATGAGAAACCCACAAGTTAGCACAACGACAAGAAAGGAAGCCATGTTGTTATCAGAAGGCTGAGATAAAAAAGACAGAGCTTACCTCTCTGGATGCATGGCTGCCTGACACAATGTTATGTCAACACTTATAAAACATGGAGGACACTCTCAGCCCTCAGCCGGGGAAGGCTCCGCTCTTCAGGCAAGGCGATCAGGCCCCGGCAATGTTAGCCAGATCCTGACTGGTCCCCTCCCTCGTAGGCTCGATACAAGGGCGCGTCTGATTGGCCGAAATGTTTCCTGAGTAATTATCTTTGTTCAGTGCTGGCAGGGGCAGCTCTGTGTGAGTCAGAGACAGGGGAAGAAAATGAGCACAGTTCTAGGTCTAAATCCACACAAATATATGATTAAGACAAGTATTTCTGGACATACAAACCCTTTCTAAGAGTGTGCTGAAGCTTCAAAGAGGAAAATCTGGTGGCAGGTCTCGCAGTGGAAGGTTACACGAGGGAAACTGTCAGCCTGTGGAGTGTGTGGAGCAGGACACCATGGCTTCCCAGAGCAAGCCTCCATTTTTTATGTGGAGAGGGCCTTTGTTTAAACTCCTCCCTCCCACTCGGCTTCCTCCAGACTCAGAGGAGAGAAAAGGAAGCCACGGCTCTGCACCTATTCAGAATGTAAACCAGGAGATTTCAGCACTTTATAAAAAAAAGTCAGACAAACTCACATAACATTGAAGTAGAGTTGCTGAAGGTCATCTAGTGTTTTAATAAAACACAAGTCCAATAAAGTAAAGGAGGAGGACATTTCTCTACATTTTTGGCTGCAGTGTGATCACATTAACAGAAAGGCGTTTTAGAAGACTTTTTTTGAACATAACTGTCATTAAACAGGGCAGATATTCACCGCAAAGTATGATTATGGTTACACTTATTGAAAACCCCTACATTAGTCTGATTGGTACATGTGACCAAGCATGCAGCCATCGTCTAAGGGCCATTCATTTAGTCGTTAAGGGTTATAAGGGGTGAGAGATGGCTCACCAATCAGTCATAGGTACACAGGATAAACCCCCATACACTCTTTTCCTACGGTAGTTCAAATTGAGACCTATTTTCAATGATGCATGTTTTTTAGAGATAACAAAAAATAAAAAATAAAATAACCACTGGACTTTCTTTTCCAAGTTTGAAGGTTTTTTTTCAATTCAAAATGTCTGGAGTAGCATTGAGTTCCAAGCTTGATAGAGTAGCCCAACAAAGCCTGTTGTTATGGCTTGGATAAGATGCTAATTTAATCAAAAACAGGTCCAGCTCTCTGTAATGGGGAGTCATTGGGGTCGTTGTTAGCCTGCAATAAAAGGCACAATGTTTTTGACCACCTGCATGGCAATGAGGATTGTGAGGATGATAGCGAGAATGAATAGACTCTAATCCACTCTTTTTAGACATAACCACAGAAAATAAACATAGGAGTGTTGGCCTAGTGGGTTAGAGCAGAGCGCTTGTGCTCTGACAAGGTTGCATGTACCCCGTTCACTTCCCACAGCCTGCACTCTGGGTCCGTGAGCAAGACCCTTCACCCCACACTCCCTTTTACATTTCTCTAGTGTGAGATAAATAAAGTTCTATTATTATTAACCCAAGACCACGCTGCAGTGCAATAGTTCTAATAACTGTTTCAATTATAACATTCGTTTTAATATAGAAATATCAGCCTACTAAAGATTATGTCCATGTACTGTGAAGTATATGCTTTCCATTAAGTTGTTCTTTTTCTAATTTACCTTCTAGGGCATTTTTTGCTGCCTTTAATGCATGTTTAACTGTTTTACCCTGTGGAAAGAAGCTTGAATCATTCCCTCAGCATTCCCTCTACTAGAGTTTGAATCTTTGATCTGTGTTGTGAATTGCATTCTACACTGAATTGAAATTAATGTGTGTTGTAAAAAATTTTTGTTGTGTATTTAGAGCTATGAAAGTCAAGATACGAAGGCAATCATGAACAACAAAATCATGTATTGCACCTAAACATGATTAAAAAAGAATGCGCCCAACGTGGGGCTCGAACCCACGACCCTGAGATTAAGAGTCTCATGCTCTACCGACTGAGCTAGCCGGGCTACAGTGCTGCAAGAAGCCATCACCAAAATGTAGCCAAAGGAGCACTGTGTAACGACTGTCCTCTAGTGCCCTCTAGTGTTCGAAGCGCCATCATCCAATAGATGTTGCAGGGCAATTTTGTTTGTGTAGCACAATTCATTACATGGACAATTCACAGTGCTTTACATTAGTTGGATAATAAAATAGAAGGACAATAAAGCAAATAGAAATTAAAAAATGTGTAAAACAAGTCAACCAGTTGGATCATAATCTTAAACTACTAATAACTTATTTAATAGCTACACTTCAATAGTCAAAGGCAGCTTTAAACTAAGTCAATGTTTTTAACTTAACTCAGACTTTCGGCACTTTTCCAGTCTTCTGGGAGTTTGTTCCAGATCAGTGGAGCATAGAAACGAAATGCTGCTTCTCCATGTTTGCTTCTAGTTCTGGGTGAACAAAGGCTTGAACTAGAAGACCTGAGTGGTCTGGGGTGTTGATATACTGACAACAAATCTTCTATGTACTGAGGTGCAGATCCATTCAGTGATTTATAGACCAACAGAAAGATTTTAAAGTCTATTCTCTGAGCTACATGGAGCCAGTGGAAGGACTTCAGAACCGGGCTGATGTGTTCTACTTTCTTAGTTCTAGTGAGAACACGGGTAGCAGCGTTTTGAATCAGCTGCAGCTGTCTGAAGGCAAACCTGTGAAGACACTGTTGCAGGATTTAATTCTGTTATAGCAGTGGGCAAACATGGTCTTTGCTAACCGGTTTTAATGTTCACATACTTTTTTAGAGCTGCCACCTTTTCACCACATCTTGGAGTGAGATTTGGAAATAGTTTGGACAGACAACCCTTCTCAGGGTTAGAATGAAAGACTCTGAGAGGATTTACCTGAAACAACGTGGCTTACATATTAAGTGATCTGTATTTATGTGGAAAAAAATTCAAACAATATACATTACTTTCTATTCTATTCTGGTGATTTTCAGAGAATGAAAGTAAAGAAGTTCAGGTCCTACTAAAATACTTGCATCTTAAATATACTGTAAAGTAAGAATTTCACAACTTTGTTTATTAATTATTATATGCAGTTCAAATAAAATAAACAAAGGGGAACGAGTAAGCTATTACTGGATTACTGGCACTGACACAGGAACCAGTGCAATCGAATCTGATGCAAACTACACTGTGTGAATATTTGGTTGTAGGCTAAGGATAAAAATCTTAACTCATTATCTTATTAGATTTTTTACAATTTAACAAAATAGCTAAACTATTGTGAACAATTGTGAACAATTGTGGATTCTATAAAAACTTACCATGACATAGGACAGCACTTCTCTGGATGCTTAATTATGAAAAATGTGATAGAAATTACATTTTTAAACATAGTCAATGGACCAAAATAAGGATAAATGAAGTTAGATGAGTTAAATAGAATGAGAACATCCCTCTGGTTTCTCTTCTAACAGTCCTAGCTGAGTTGTTTTTCACATCCTCTCTGTGTTTTATGCGGTACTCTTTTCTTGAGAGGCTGATCTTTTGAAAAATAAAATGCAATGTTTCTTTTTTCTATTTTATGGACCTCTTATGGGTTTGCAAGGCATATGTGAAATCTAAGAATTAAGATATTTGTGTTGGTTTAATAAGTCCTAAATTCCAAAGGGAGATTCTTAAACTAAACTGAGAAATAAGTATTTAACTTGTGAGCAAACATGGGGAAAAAAATTGGACTAAATCAGTTGGAAAGAGAAAACAAACCATTTGATGTCAATTTGATGTGATCCTGCACTCTACCTTGATCATTTAAGCTAGCTGCTGGAAATTATATGAACATTTACTCAAGTATGAGATTGTTTAAAATCTTCACTACATTACAAAGTGAATTATCGTAGTCCAGATAAGATAAGATAAAGATAATATAAAAATTTTATGACAAACCTGTAATAACTCCTCAAAAATCCCAGTCATTTTTCCATATCTGGCGCAGGCCCTTGCGACTGCTGCTCTCAGCACAGCCAGTAGGTGGGCTGCTGCTAAAACACGGACTGGGAAAGAACCTGGATGTGACCCTGGTATGCCCAAGTGTTTTAGCGCTAAGGTTGTGTTGAAAACATGGGCTCTTTTCGAAATCCTGGGCTGCATCCTCCAAGGACGCGGTCTACTAGACTGGATCCTTCGAAGTCCGTGAAAATAAGGAAACCGGAAGTGTTTTGGCTGTGAATTCGAACAGGTCTACCCTTCGGCGGGTTTTACCGCCGTATGCTCTGTTGCTTAGCAACCGTGAAAGTTGACACACAAAGCAGGAAAAGAATGAAAACGGAAGTTTCCAAAACTGTTTGTTTATTTATTTATTTTTTATTGTAAAGTGAACAAAGACTACACTCACAAAAATCCAGAGTGGAATAAAGGTTCCAACCACCGGGAGCAGGAACAGATAAAAGCAAATCCAATGATAGAAACCTTAGTCAGTTAAATAACATGCTGCTGTCATTTTGCACATCTCTCATGTTGCTGCTATTTTTAAATATGCATTACTGTAAAAATGTCCATAGCTGCATATTGGTTATTTGTTCTCCATTTTTATATTGTTAAAACACTTTACAGAATTGTATTTTTTATATTTTAACTCTTCCCTATTATGTTATTCTTATACATTTTTCTAAGGTCCACATTTGTGTGACCATTTTCAATAATCTTTCTGCTGCTGTAAATTTCCCCATTGTGGGACAATAAAGAGATTTTCTATTCTATTCTATAAAATTGGTAGAAATATATAAGTAAATCTAAACAAGGTATGTATAAAAAATATATCTGCAAAATCTCTAATATTCAACAACAAAAAATACTTAGTTAAGCATATTGTGCAAAACAGCAATAAAAAAATTAAAATCCTTTCAGATTTATAGTCCCCACACTGCAGAATAGAATATGTCGTTAAATTACAGCCAAACCCATTTACACATTCACAGATAAAAACCTTTAGATAAATCAAACATTACCGCCACATATCGGACTTAATAACCATTAAAACAACTATTTTCATTCATTTCAGACGGAACTATTCACAGACTGGATTATATTAAACTGAACTTCCAATTTTCACCACTGTTAGGTGCCAAGTAACCTTTCCTCTGATCACCGAGCAAATCACGGCTTGCTTGGTCTCGCAATGAATCCTGGGTAAACCAAGGATACAGAGGATACATTGGACCCGTCCTTCAAATCGGGCAAAAAGAAGGACGCATTTTAAGGCTGCATGACGAGGACTCTTGAAAACCGACCAGACCTTGGCGCCACGCTATGGCGTAATCGTCCTTAGAATCTGGCCTTCTAAGGACGCGTCCAAGAATTTTGAACAGAGAAATGGACTGGATGAGAACCTGGATGTGACCGTGGTATGCCTCGTGAGTTAGCGCTAAAGTTGTGTTGAAAACGTGGACTGGATGAGAACCTGGATTTGACCCTGGTATGCCCTCGTGTGGTAACGCTAATGTTGTGTTGAAAACACGGATTGGATGAGAACCTGGATGTGACCCTGGTATGCCCTCGTGTGTTAGCGCTAAGGCTGTGTTGAAAACACGGACTGGATAAGAACCTGGATGTGACCCTGGTATGCCCTTGTGTGTTAGCGCTAAGGTTGTTTTGAAAACACGGACTGGATAAGAACCTGGATGTGACCCTGGTATGCCCTCGTGTGTTAGTGCTAAGGTTGTTTTGAAAACACGGACTGGATGAGAACCTGGATGTGACCCTGGTATGCCCTTGTGTGTTAGCGCTAACATTGTGTTGAAAAGAGCATGTTACTTTTATATATAGATAAGTGGAATGGAGTTTAGTTTTAATGTCCGTCATTTTATAGTGTAAAAAATTGGAGATGTGGAGTGAGAGTGCGTAACAATACAGTAGCAACTTTGGACACCGGTGATTTTATGAATAATATATATCTTTGTATTGCTTAAACATATATGACTTTTAAAGATGCCTCTGAGTTATTAACGGACGTACCTTTCAGAGGACAGTGATGCAATGCAGACCTAGCTGCAACTTCCGGTCACTGGAAAAAAACAAAGAAACTGAATGAGTTTAAAAAACAAACCATTGGACTTTGTTTCCAAGTTTGAAGACGTTTTGCCTCCCATCCAGGAACCTTTTTCAATTCAGAATGTCATTAATAGCGTTGGGTTCGAGGCTTTACACAGTAGCCCAACAAGTCCTTGTTTTTGTTTAGAAAACATGCAAATTGAAACAGGTCCACCCCTTGGAATAGGGTACATTTGGCTTATTTTGTTAGCCTGCAAAGCCCCATACCTCTCTATGTCTCTGAAAGGGGTGCCGTTCAAGGGAAATGTTGGCCTGGCTGAATAGGGAAGGGATCAACTAAATTCCTGAATTGTAGGTTTTTGAAAGCTAAAATCCACCCCCTCTGTTTAAGGTATATAGTAAATAAGTACAGTATAAAGCCTTGAACTTAATGCTATTCCTGAAAAACTGAAGAAGCTAAATAAATATTAAGTTTGATTTAGTATTCTAAGAAAGGGTTCATTCACAACAAAGGTTATCGGGGAAAAAAAATTAAAATGCCACTTTGGTCAAAATGATACAAATAAAAAGTGAAGTACATACATTCAGGTTGATCTTATTAAGTTAGTCTTTTATTAAAATTGGGTAATATGTTTTCTATCTAAGGAAACCCAGCAGAATGCATAGATCAGTATTTATCCTTCCAGGATGAACATGTAGGGACAGTGTTTTGATCTTAAGCAGGCATGTAAAGACAGTGGGAAGCATCCAACAGAACCAGAACCTGGCTTAGTGATCCGCCTGCACCACTGACACTAGTAGGACTTGCTCCTACAAGGAAAAGATTTAAGTACTATTTTACATAATAAATACCTGCAATTTAAACATAACATAACTGTACTGTCTTTTAAAAACCATAGTTAAAATTAGAATAGATGAAATTCAAATGTTCTCATTAAACAACATTTAAATCCTGTACTTGCTTATAGGCTGTTTTGAGTTGCTGTTTTGTTTTTACATGCTTTTCAGCCTACCTGACATAATTTGTCTAAATATATATTGAAACACCTCAGAAACTTCAGTCAGAAAATAAAATGTAAAGCTGTTCACGAGAGAGCCTCTGTACAATGTAAACTTTTATACGGTATGAAAAAGTATTATGTTCAACTGCCTATCATGGCTTTTGCTTTTTGTGCTAACAGGCAATAAAATCCCATAAAGAAGAAGAAGAAGAACGTTTTTTACTTTCACAGGAAATAGGAACACACGACAAATACAACAGAATAAATATGATGGGGCTAGTAGTAAATTTTGTTTGGGTTGTGGCAAATAACAAGATTAAAGTAAAAATGAAATGGCAGACAGGATGGCTAAGGAGAGTACAAATAAGGTAAGGATAGATATTAATGTTAGTTTTAGTATAACAGAAAAAAAGGTATAATTAAACAAAAAACAAAAGAGAGGTGGCAAAAGTTATGGGAAGAAGAAAAGAAAGGAAGGTGGTTCAATAAAATACAAAAGAGAATTGGACAAATGAGAAGAACAGAAAGGAACACAAAAGATAATTATTACACGACTTAGAATTGGACACACAGGATTGAATAGGTCATTATTTTTTATTAGGAAAACATCAGACAGGGAAATGTGACTGTGGGGAAGATGGGACAGTGGAACATGTAGCAAATATTTGATTCAGAGAAACAAGTTAATTAGGAAACTTAGTAATATGAAATGTTGATTTACTGCAAAAGGAATCAGGAAGCAGAGGATATTACATTATATTTGAGTTTTTGAAACAGATTAAATTGTATAACAGGATATAGTTTTTTGCCATGTGGTCCAGGTCCACACTCCTTACCAGTTGGTGGCGGTAATGCTGACGTAACGCTTTTTGCCAACCGCCATAAATAATTTCAAGAAGAAGAACACACGACGCGTACGTAAGGTACGTGACGTGAAGGCATCACGGCGCAGGATTCTCCTTCTACGTCAGCGACGCAGGGTGGTTCATGAATGGGGCTCTGAAGTGGGAGGGCCCGTCTTCTGACTTTAGCAGACAGGAGGAGGAAAAAAGTGGGTGTTGTTGTGTTTTGCAGCGATGCTCCTTCATGACTGTTTCTAAACAGACGAGCAGCTGTTTGTGTTTGCGCATTGGAGCGGAGTGATCTTCCCCCAGAAGGACCAGAACCTTCCGGCTGAGAGGAGCAGGCCAGCGGCCACAGCAGCAGCAGCAGCGGGACCAAAGGGAGTCAGAGTCGTGTCGTGGAGCCATGGGGTTTCGCAAGAAAAACAAGAGCCCGCCGGTGTTGAGCCACGAGTTTGTGATCCAGAATCACGCCGACATGGTTTCCTGTTTGGCCATGATCATCCTCCTCGGCCTAATGTTTGAGGTACTCTGTGTGTGATGCAGCTGTTAGCCGCTGCTAGCTGCCGTTAGCTCACATGACAGCTTTACTCCAGAGGCAGCGGGGAGTCAGCGTTATGTTCCCTTCCCTTCTCATGTGTCTCTGACTGCCAGATACGATATGCAGGAGGCACCATCTGCTGACTCAGCCTTTGTAGCCAAGCGTTGCCCTGCAGGCTGATCAACAAGCTGATCTGTTGGCTGCAGCTCGATCTAAACCTGAGCAGTACTTCGCTTTGAATGAAACCAACTAGCTTCTTTTACTAACCTGCTCCCACCCCACATCTAGCTTCAGACCTCTTTGATCCCTTTCTATGCTCATGATAAATGACTTTTTACTTTTAGCTTTAATAGCTATACTTAAAGATCATCTGCAGCCCACACATACCGGTCCAACCAGATGTACCCTCAATAGGAGTGATCTGTTTTTCACTTTGTCATAGAGAAGCCCCCCCACCCTTAAAGGCATCTCCTGGAAATCTCATGATCTTAAATATAATTGTCTTTAAATTCATGCTTTTTCATGGTTGCTTAGATCAAGTACATGAAATTGCAGTTTTTCCATTTTAAATAAGCTGAGTAGAACACTTTTATTCTATCACAGTCATGTACAATGTAACCCAAGTTCTTGGTAAGCTCAGATCCTTTGAACATTTTATGCTCTTTCCTGTGTCCTAATTCCTCAAAACCTCATATCTTAAAGCCACTTTTTTTTTTTTTTTTAAGGATCTAATTTCTTTTTTTCTGCAGATGAGAAAAGCGAGCCAGTAAACCTTTACCAGTACGGCCCTAAAGATGTGGCCACTGTGTTTTTCTACCTGCTTTAAATTCATGCTTTTTCATGGTTGCTTAGATCAAGTACATGAAATTGCAGTTTTTCCATTTTAAATAAGCTGATTAGGACACTTTTATTCTATTAACTTCATCTGCATTTAATGTTTACACCAAGGTAAAGGGGATCATTTTTGATATCTGGATATTCTTTCATAGGGATCTTCCCTACTTTGATTGCACAGAGCTGTCTAAATAATGTTGCTGTCGTTAACTCACATGACAGCTTTACTCCATATATCCTGGAGTTGCTTTTTGTATTTCTGCTTCCGTCTCCTTGAACCCCAGTCGGCCTCGACAGATGGCCGCTCACACTGAGCCTGGTCCTGCTTGAGGTTTCTTCCTGTTAAAAGGGAGTTTTTCCTCTCCACTGTCGCTACAAGTATGCTTGGTGTGAGGGATTGCCTTTGAGTCAATGAGTCAATGCAATCAGTTGGTTTGCCTTAGATAGAAAACTTTGATTCAATCTGACTGGATGATCTGGTTGAATTGTCTCTGTAAGGTGCCTTGAGATGAAATGTATTGTGGAATGGCGCTATATAAAACTGAATTGAAGGGAATAAAGGATGGGAAAAATATTTTTTTAAATAAATGTTTAATTACTTTACACATCAAACTTCCTTTTATATATGAACAAAGAAATAAAAAAACAACAGTATATCCCATAATGAATGAGTGAGGAGAAGGTCATCCTTTTTAGGTAATGGGTTGTTTTATTATTTTCTCCACTGCACAATATGAAACTAGTTTCTTAAACTGGCTTTTTTAGATATTGGAAAATTACTGGATTATTTCTGGGAGGGTCTAAAATAAATGTAGGTAATAGTATTGATTGAGTAATCTCCAAATCTTTAAACAAAATAGTTTTTCTTTTATCATTCTTGCTAGGGCAGAAGCAATAAATTGGGTTACTAGATTATTGAAATAATTGGAGGGAAACGCCTAAAATAGGTCTGAAACGATTAATGGGATTAATTGGGATTAATTGAGTATTTAAATAATTTTTTTAACTAATTCAGGAGTCAATCATTCACTGAGTAAAGAAACTATAAAACATCCCTTTGTTTTATATCCACTTAGAGCGGTACCTATAACAAAATTGTGAAAAATATATATAAATATTATGCATTTAAGATAAAAAAAAAAAAAAAACATTTTCACCTGTCAATATGCCCTATACAGAACTGGAAAAATTTTAGTTTCCCCTGGTTTAATTCTTTATAAAATCTTCTTTAAGGTACCTATCTGATTATTAATTGATTCATCGGAAGAAAAGAAAAAAGATCAACAGATTAATCGATTATCAAAATAATTGTTAGTTGCAGCCCTAATTCTGGCCACCCAGGTGGATTTTTTTTTTTTTTTTACTTTGCTCTTAATCAATGTTGCTGTAGTTATATTATCTTGCTGCTTGTCTCTCCCCCTCTATCATACCCCTTTCCTGCCTACTGTCTGAAAAATGAGCCACTAGTGCTGCCAAAACAACAACAACAAAAAAAACAATATGTTTGTAATCAAGGAGTATGCAACACAGGCATCACTTAGCGCTTAAAAAAAAAAAAAGGGAAATTCAATGACTACGTTTTGATTTATTTTCTCTCCAGGTTACAGCAAAGTTTGCCATCATGTTCATCACAGTCCAGTACAATGTAACCCAAGTTCTTGGTAAGCTCAGATCATTTGCACATTTTATGCTCTTTTCTGTGTCCTAATTCCTCAAAACCTCATATCTTAAAGCCATTTTTTTAAGGATCTCTTTTTCTTTTCTGCAGATGAGAAAAGCGAGCCAGTAAACCTTTACCAGTACGGCCCTAAAGATGTGGCCACTGTGTTTTTCTACCTGCTCATAGCGGTCATCCTTCACGCCTTGATTCAGGAATATATTCTCGATGTGAGTAAAGTTTTATCCCCTTTTTCTCTCTAATAATAAATTAAGGAATATAATCCTAAGGAAAGAGCTTTCTATCTTTATAGGTACCTGCTTCTGCAGATTCTTTTTTCTTTCTTTAAAAACAAAGATTCCTCCTCCAATCCATCAGCTGTGTGAAGGAATTTTTCCATTCCATTCCAAGCAGTAACAAGAAACACTTCTGTTTTTGCACAAAGAAATAGAAAGCTGAGATTTTTTTTTTTGTTTTGTTTTGCATGTTTTAAAAAAGTCTGCATTAAGATTTCATTAATAGATCCAGTAGCCACCCATCATTTAAAGGGAAAGACTGCCATTTTACAATGTTATGCAACTGTTTGTCTGATGTTCTTTTAAAAAGAGAAACTTTTTAAGCTAAATAGTTTCTTCCTTTACAGCATCGGTCTTCTATTACAAGTGTATTTGTTTGAAAAAAATTGGTGAAATAAATGCTCTTTTTAACAAGATCATCTTTGCTAGCTCTTAGGTAGATGCTTCATTAGTTTCCCCTGAACCTTTCCAACAGTGATGCCTCTATTTCCTCAGGATGCCTCTATTCAGCAGGATACATGCTGACGTCTCAAGAGCTCAGCCCACAGCTCCATGACCAGGCACTTGGTCTTGTTGTGTTTACCTTCTGTTTGTTCCCGTTTCAGAAAATTAACAGGAGGTTGCACCTGTCGAAAACCAAACACAGCAAGTTTAACGAGTCGGGGCAGCTGGCAGCGTTCTACCTGCTCTCCTTTATCTGGGGCTGCAGCATCCTGACGGCGGTACGAGGTTTAGGATTCACTATAAAAAACGCTGCCCACGCTCCACAAGGCTTTATCTTTATGGGCTTCTTACTTTTTCTTTTCTCCTCTACAACAGGAGGAATTTGCAACAAATCCAACTTTCTTATGGGAGGATTACCCACACACCAACATGGTGTAAGTAAAGATGCCTTTGTGTTGCTGTACAGTTTAGGGTCACAATGATGTGGAATCTCTGCAGGTTATTGAATTTCTCTGAAGACAAAGCCCAATTTTTTATTTAAGTTCTTTGGAGTTCGTTTATATTTTTGCCACTTGCAAAGTAAGCTTATTTTCATAGCTCAGCTTTGGAGCAATATTTAATAAACCAGATTTGGATTCTCTATTCTGACTCAAATGAGGCACAATGTGTCAAGCAGTGATTACTGGTTTCACCAAAAGGACGTCTTGCATTCTTAATGTCTTAAATGCGACACAGGTTGAACTAATTGTGAGCTGACTATGCAGTCGATCAGAGTTTATTGAAAAAGCATGGTGGAACGCGAAGCTGGATAGCGGGCCATTGTTGATCCATTAAATACTTTAATTCTCGCCCTTTTTATCAAATACATTTAAGAAACATATCCAAATTAAATGCGACATTTAACCAGTGTATATTTAGACATTTTAGATAATAATTAGCCTATTAGACTTGGACTTAGAAACTTAGAGAACTTTTATTGTCATTTTGTATACACAGAGTGTATACTAAACAACAGTTTTTGTAGTCTTTGGATGAAACTAAAAGCTGATATAAGATTTTTTTTTTTAAAGTTTATTTTGAATCTTGATATTTTAGTCATAGTTTTAGTCTCATTAACTGTTTTTAATTAAAATTTAGTCAAGATTTTTGTCAGCAAGGATCTTGCTTTGACTAAATTTGGTATTCAATTAAATTAACCACTTTCTCTCCATATCTTACTCTTTCAGTAGTAACAGATTTTCTGGAGATAATCTATGCAGATACGTGTCAGGGAGGGCAAATGGGTAATTTCAATCCCTGAAGAAACAGGGTGTGGAGTTCTCCTTCATCAAGGACCTATGAAGGTGTCATGGCCACCTCTGATAGTTGAATCAGTGTGAGAGTGTCTTTTATGAGCTAAGGCAAAGTTGTTTTCACAAAGCGAAAAGAGAAAATATTGAGATGTTTTGTTTATCCGGCCCTCGCCGTCTTACACTCATCCAGAACTGGATGGTGTGAGCAGTAGAGACTCACAGACTTCCCTCCTCCAGCACCTCTGGGGGTCAATTGAGAGACACAGTCCCTCCTGTCCTGGTCCGTCTTCAGTGGGACGTGCATGAAACTCTCAGCTTGGAGGACCTCTCCTCTGACCTGAAGAGGGCAAATCACCTTTGATTTGGTGGAGGACCATGACCTTCGACTTAGTGGAGCTGATCTCCACCATATATATAGTAAAAGATTATTTTATTATCTGAAATTAATTTAATAAAATGTAGGATGTTGCCATTTTTCGACGGCACCATGAATTTGGGCCAAATAATGGTGCTAAAACCATTTCAGTTACCAACAGCGCCCCCTGGTGTTGGATTCAACAAAAAAAAGGCAGAAACTAATTCAATTTTTTTGAAACACTCTCTGCATTTTGATGCATTTTAGTTAGTAGTATCATAATGACAGAAATGCATGAAATACAACAATTTTTTTCAATAACTGCCTTAACTTTCCTCTCTTTAGTTTTCAGGTCAAATTCTTCTACATTTGCCAAATTGCCTACTGGCTCCATGCTCTTCCCGAGCTCTACTTTCAAAAAGTGCGAAAGGTAATTTAGCTTTTTATTTATTCATTTATTTTGACCGTATTGCATAATATAAATAATTTATTTAAAGGTAGCTGTTTTGCTTGCAGAGTTTCTTTTCTGTCAAAAGTTCTGGTTTAAAAGTTTGAAACCAATTGAGCAAGAGAGAATAAACTATAACACGTATTTAATTAACTTGAGATGTTATCTAGTGTAACGTGGGTACAGGAAAAGCATGTAAATACCCAGATTAAGCATAGGTTGTAGTTTGAAATCAGATGTTTAAAAAGTTATAGAGCTATCAATTTAAAACCTTTATAGTTTCACTTTTGGCTACTATAAAAAAGACTTTGAAATGGAAGGAAAATCGTGTCTTTTGTATTGTGCAAACTAAAATAAAAAGATGTGGCATTCATTTTTTTAGCTAGTTTTTCAGCTTTATTCTTAAATTAAGTCCTTTGCATCCATTTCCTTTAGAAACCATCTTGGTAATAGAGTCCAGCTGTATGTGTGATCTAATCTCTATGAATATAACTGTTCAGTGAAGACCTCTTTTTGCAAGAGCGGCATAAAGAAAGTTATTGAATTTCCATTTTCTGTTTGCTACAAGTCATGTGGAAGGAGGTATTCTGGTCAGACGAACTTCTATCATCCATTTGAAACACGATCTATAGTTGAAAACCAATACTGAAGTTCAGTACAGCCTTCACAGGGTGTAACACGGTGGTGGCAGCATCATGCTACATGATGCTTGCAAAACACTTGAATGTGGCTTGTTTTAACCAGTAAATTAGTCACAGTCTAAAGCTAAGCCCAATTTTACAAGCTGATGTTTTGATTTATTCTATTGTGCAAAAAAAGAAAATCTTTACTGAGACTTTTCCATAGTTTGAAAGAGTATTGACCCAGGTGATGAGGTCTGTCGTGCTGAATACAATGCAAGGTTTACTGCATCTATCTGTTAATAAAGAAAAATGTTAAGATTAATGACATTTCCAGGACATTAGATCACATGAAGGTTGCTGATCCAGTCTGGCTTCAGTTTTAAGTGCAGCTTCTAACTAAGTTTTTACATATCTATCTTCTATATATATAAGTACAGAGATTTGAAACAGTTCTGTCTGAATAGATTAGCTAGAATCTCCAGGACTCAGTGATTAGGTGATCTTTATTAGATGCGGGTGTCACAGTCTCACATCACAGCCTCAAAGCTCAACATACTTTTTTCACTTATGGAAATAAAATACTTAAACCAGTTACAAAAACAAAGAGCGAAAACACTCCAACTAAAAAGTGTTTTATTTGCTGATCACTGCTTTTTTTAACCTACTGTTAATGAAACCTTATCCTATTTATTCATTCTTCTTTCCACAGGAGGACATCCCTCGCCAGCTTTATTACATTTGCCTTTATGTTGTCCACATCACTGGTGCCTACGTCTTAAAGTGAGTCTGACTGATCATTTGTATTATATTCACAAGAAGAAGATCTGTGGTTTAAAACAAAAATGCGGCTGATCGCTCATCAGTGTTCAGACAGTTTAAAACTTTTAGTCATTAGAGCTCAACGTAGTTAATGTTCCCAAACTCTCTGATTAATACTGCTCATAGAGGTTACATTCCAGTGCATTTGGTCTGTCCATCCATATATCTTTTCGCACCTTTTTTTTTTCATTCATCCTTTTATGCATTTGTTTTTTATTTCATTTAATGATTCATCCTATTGAGAAACCATCTGTTCATTCATTCATCCATCCAGCTATTAAGTCAACTTCCAGCTCTGTCTATCCATCCGTCTCCCGCTTTGTATCTCCATGTATCATTTATCTGTCCGCCCATCATCTATTTGTCCTTGTTTAGTTTATTCATCTGTTTTTTCTGCCAATCTATCAATCTTTTCTTTAGTCTATCTGTTCATACAGTATGTCTATCGATCTATTTGATCTTTGGTTTGACCATCTTACCATCCACCCTATCTCCTTCCTTTCGTTTTTACACATTGTGTTTTTAAAGCCAAACTTCAATAAAAGGGATCTGTTGTAAATTTCTATTGAACTTTTTTGTCCATATCCTACAAATGGATAAGAAATGGGCCAATAAATTAGCGTAGGTCCAGAAAAGTGTTGTGTTTTTTTTGTGGGTTTGTTTTTCCAACCTTCATGAGATACTTCCCCGCCATCTTTGTGTTCTGCCTGTTTAGCCTCCACCGACTGGGCCTAGTGCTGCTGGTCCCTCATTACCTGGTCGAGCTTCTGTTCCACGCTTCACGCCTCTTCTACTTCAGTGATGAAAACAAGCAAAAAGGGTATTTTGTTTTGTTCTCTTTAGTATTTCGGTTCAGGGGTTAATGCTATTCCCACAGCCAGAGTTATCTTACGGTACCGCTTATTGTTTGTGCAGATTCACTTTATGGGCGCTACTTTTTGTCATTGCTCGCCTCCTTACCCTCACACTGTCAGTGCTGACATTCGGTTTTGGCCTGCCCCGTACGGAGAACCATGGTTTTTCCCTGGCAGAAGGCAACTTTAATGTGCTCACCATAAGGTATGCCCAATAAAAGCCTCTGAATGTTTGTGTTTTGCTTAGAAAAATGTAACCTTAACCTCAGTAAACTGTATCTTATCCACCTAGAATGACTTGTCTCGCAGCCATCTGTCTGACGCAGGCCTGGATGATGTGGAAGTTCATTAATTTCCAGTTAAAAAAATGGAGAGAGCACAGCCAGAACCAAGCATCAAAGAAGAAGACAGTTAGCCCAAAGAGCAAGCCTCATAAAAGAGAAAATTCAAGGGGTGAGTTTGCACAGATGCAGGGGTTTCTGCTTCCTGTATTTCATCAATCTTCTTAAAAACTGCTATAATTACTGTCTTTTCTCAACCATTTCCTACTAGGAGGCGCTGTTAATGGAGTCGTCAAGTCTGACGATAAAATGTCACCACGAGCAAGAAAAGTCAAAGCTTCATAAAGTTGGACAAGCTTGGAGATGAGAAACCAGTTTCTTACACAAGACAATTATACACTACAGGTGGTTTCAGGCTGCCAGAACCTTTTCATAGTTCTCATAACTATTTAAGGTGGATTCCTTACATTGTTTGTCTGCCTTTGCACTGCAGTAACCATGTGCTATTTCTTTTTAGAGCTGCTTTTGATGGGTGTTTTTAAAATCCTGTTTCAGAAAATGATCTTTCTTTGTGTGATAGAAAGCCATGAGTTGCATGCGGTAATGTAGGTGGCCTGGTTGCAGATGTCGTGTGGAGCAGGTTTCTAACTCTGTCCTTATCTACCTGATTTTTAAAAACAAACTCAAACTGAACACAGCAGCTTAATGTGTCCATGAAGAATATTTGATCAAATTCACCAAAATGAAACACTATTAACTATAACACCTCAAACATTAAGCTAATTAATTTGAACCGTTGTGCTTAAAACATTTAGTTATCAGGTGTTTTTTTTATGGCTCTCTATATTTTTTTGAATCTTGGAAACAAATACTTTAAAATTCTACTATTGCGTAATACATGTTTTTAACAGTCAGACAGGACTTTATTTTACCTTCCCAAGCAACATTTCATTTAACTAATTTAAGAGATCAGGGTTTTGCTTTAGTTTAGGATTCCACTAATTAAACCAACTGAGCTTTACAAAATCGTTGATCTTAATCTGATTTCTGATTAACTTTTAAACACAAGGAAAAAGCTGGGGTCAGGGGAAGCAGTTCAGATACTTACGGGGAAAGTAACTGACAGGATAGTCTGTCACCCTTCACCTTGACTGTGACCATTTACAAAGGGCTTCCCTCCTTTGTAGTTTTACATATCAGTTGTGCAGACATGGGGAGGCCTAATTCAGGCAGAGGAACCTCAGTATGGCAGTGACAGTAAGTTGGCCAGTCTTGCAAACTGTGGATTTTTCAAGACAATCATCATTTATTAATGTGAAATTTGTCTTGTTTGGGTTCTAAACTCTTATGTGACCTTAGCTCACTTAGCAGAGAAGTGTCTTCCTTCGTAAGCTCCTAGATGGGAACATAAGCAATCAATGGATGACAGTATCCAGGGAACTTTACCAAACAAGAGACATGTTTTTCATGCAGCAAAATTGAAAAAATACTAAATTGTTCCCAACCCATCAAAACAATCAAACGAACATCGCCAGCATGCATTCAAACAAAACTTACATTTCCTCCAACAGCACACTGTTAATCAGCCCCCCCCCCATAAGAAAGAGTAGAAACTAGAGAAGCTGTAGAATCTCTAAACCAGATCGCATTTCCAACTCTGCTAAAATTGACTAAACATGTGTCCAAAAACCCAAGTCTTTACAGCATTTGTTGCTTCATTTTGGTGAATGTTGTGAGCTTAACTGATATTGTAACAATGATCATCTGGTAACTGCTATGCAATCACAGCATTTCTATGGCAGTGCAAATGCAAGCAAAAATGGAAGATTATAATAGTTCTTATGGCTTCACTGTATAGGGAGGTTCCAATAACATTTTTATGTCCTCTTAGAGTCCATAGAACAGTTTGCTCTTAAAAAAAAAAAAAAAGAATAAGAAAATATTGATTTGCTGCTTTTTCTTGGAAAAAAAGAACTGTTAAACGCTCTAAGAAACTATTACATTAATGTTTTATTTTAAATGAAAACGTTCATCACCTCTACTCTGAAAATCTTTAGTGTTAATGTAATCTACAAGTGTTCATTGTTACTTTGGTTTTGCTGCCAGTGAGAGGTTGGTTGGGCACTGCTGGTTGTCATGCTTTAACAGGATGGGTTTAGCTCTTTGAAGTGTCCTTTTTGTATTAAAATGACGATCGCTCATGGGGTTTAAAAAGTGAGTACCTTTTCAGTAATTTGACAAGGAATAAGTTAATAATTCTTTACAAAGCCAATATCTGACTTCAGGGGAATATGAAAGTGTGAAGTGCAGGGTGTCTTTTTAAGTTTTGGCCTTGTTCTTAGACATTATGCTGTTTTCCAAGAAAAAGAAGGACTTGAAACACCAGAGGCAAATATTTGTGAACAGCAAAATCTGTGCTGAAATCTTAGCACAGTTACTGCCATTATATGAGAGCCTCTGCCATTGAAATCCAACATTATGCATGTCGGATTGAGGCACTTTGATATACACTATATTGCCAAAAGTATTTGCTCACCCATCCAAATTATTGGAATCAGGTGTTCCAATCACTTCCATGGCCACAGGTGTATAAATTCAAGCACCTAGGCATGCAGACTGTTTTTACAAACATTTGTGAAAGAATGGGTCGCTCTCAGGAGCTCAGTGAATTCCAGCGTGGAACTGTGATAGGATGCCACCTGTGCAACAAATCCAGTCGTGAAATTTCCTCGCTCCTAAATATTCCACAGTCAACTGTCAGCTGTATTATAAGAAAATGGAAGTGTTTGGGAACGACAGCAACTCAGCCACGAAGTGGTAGGCCACGTAAACTGACGGAGCGGGGTCAGCGGATGCTGACGCGCATAGTGCGAAGAGGTCGCCAACTTTCTGCAGAGTCAATCACTACAGACCTCCAAACTTCATGTGGCCTTCAGATTAGCTCAAGAACAGTGCGCAGAGAGCTTCATGGAATGGGTTTCCATGGTCGAGCAGCTGCATCCAAGCCATACATCACCAAGTGCAATGCAAAGCGTCGGATGCGGTGGTGTAAAGCACGCCGCCACTGGACTCTAGAGCAGTGGAGACGCGTTCTCTGGAGTGACGAATCGCGCTTCTCCATCTGGCAATCTGATGGACGGGTCTGGGTTTGGCGGTTGCCAGGAGAACGGTACTTGTCTGACTGCATTGTGCCAAGTGTAAAGTTTGTTGGAGGGGGGATTATGGTGTGGGGTTGTTTTTCAGGAGCTGGGCTTGGCCCCTTAGTTCCAGTGAAAGGAACTCTGAATGCTTCAGCATCCCAAGACATTTTGGACAATTCCATGCTCCCAACTTTGTGGGAACAGTTTGGAGCTGGCCCCTTCCTCTTCCAACATGACTGTGCACCAGTGCACAAAGCAAGGTCCATAAAGACATGGATGACAGAGTCTGGTGTGGATGAACTTGACTGGCCTGCACAGAGTCCTGACCTCAACCCGATAGAACACCTTTGGGATGAATTAGAGCGGAGACTGAGAGCCAGGCCTTCTCGTCCAACATCAGTGTGCAACCTCACAAATGCGCTTCTGGAAGAATGGTCAAAAATTCCCATAAACACACTCCTAAACCTTGTGGACAGCCTTCCCAGAAGAGTTGAAGCTGTTCTAGCTGCAAAGGGTGGACCGACGTCATATTGAACCCTATGGATTAGGAACGGGATGTCACTTAAGCTCATATGTGAGTCAAGGCAGGTGAGCAAATACTTTTGGCAATATAGTGTATCTCTGTCGCTATTCTGGTATTCAAACCTGGATTGGGGTCTTGTCCAGGATGGGAGACCCGCCAAATGTAAGCTAAGGTGTGATGCTGTACTGTTTGTATATGGTGAAATCTTCATTTTGGCATGATGTTTGCTGAGGAATGATTTCGGTCTTGGCAATGGAATATGGTTTGAAGCTAAGTCTTTTACGGCTAGTTCCAACTTTTGGGTTTGCATCTCTTACACAAGACTTAGACGAACACACAAGCATTAAGTGGCCTTTTTTAAAAACTGCTGCAAGATGTTTTGGTTGTTTATTTTTGTCATAAACAGCAGATTATTATTTTGTATGCTATTCAGAGCTATAACCAGCAAACACAGTGGTATATAGCAACCGCATTTACTCAGTCCAAACAAAACAATCTTTCTTCAAGTGTCCTTAAAAATGTGGAGGGTTTATAACACTCCTTTTGTTTGTGTTTTTGTAACCCTTAGGTATCAGGGGACAAGCTATTTGTCACTCACACCATAGCTTGCATCCCATGGTTTAATGGGAGGTGTGTTTTGAGGGACTGTGTTTTGTATGCGTGTGCACTTGTTCTCGTGCGTGTAGAGTGTTGTCTAGCTCGTAAATTATAACTGGGAATGATGGTTTATTGCTTGTCTTGTTCAAAAAAAAAAAGATGCCTGTGTGCAGAGCATGGAAAAGCGACAATCTGTTCAATGACTCTTGCCTGTTGTTAGGTTTTTTCACCACCTGTATTACTGTTTTTGTTTTACCCTTTCTGGTATGACCTGTCTAAGGTTCCCAATGCTTCTGTGTGTTGGGGGGAAAAAAAACAACGAAACACTAAACTGTGGTGTTATGTGATTTTTGGGTTGGTGCGATATTAAATGCTTCTGTATTTAATGTCCCTGCCCTGCCACTTGGGACATGCTCCTGTCTCCCTGCCTCACCTTTTCAATGATCTTGGCATTGCCCATACTAACAATAGCAGATGCAGTTTCTAAAACAAACCCACTGTAAACAGATGTCCCTACCCATAAACTCTGAGCAATCAGTCTGTATGTTAACAGACTAGACACTATGGCTTAGTTGAGATTGATGGAGTATTTTCTTCACTAAACTTTTTATTAAACCAACATTTATCACTACTACCTACAAATTATATATTTTACAATTATTTTTATGGGTGTCCCATCAGATGCAAGGTAACATGGAAGTTCAAATGAAATTTATTCAAACAAACCTCATCTATTAGTATACTCTGTAGTTATAAACTGTGCATTTTAAACCCCAATTTTAATATCATGACTTATCAGCTCAAAAAATCTATGCCAGTTTGTGCTCAGTCATTATTATTAGCTGAATCTGTAATTTTTGTTAAGGCAGACGTGTAATTTTGAAGGGGTAGTTTGTCACACTATTACTGTCAATAAAGAATAACAGCAAATGGTATTAGTTATATGTATAATATTTTAAGATATGCTAAAAACAGTTACCTAAAACTCCAGCAACACCAAATGTTTTCTGGCATCTTAATAAAACAACTTCAAATCAAAGCAACATGAATAAGATTGAATTTTGCAGTTTTAAAGCTGTGATTTTTAAAATCTTTATACACCTGGAAAAACAGGAGGAACAATATAAGTAGGCAAGCTTTAGCAGTTGGAGTGTTTTTGGGGCTCCTTCAAGAGTATTTTAAGTGGTACTTGAGTGGCATTGCTGAAGGAGGAAAGGAAGAGCAGTGGAGTAAAGTACCAGCCTGTTATTAAACTGTTTTAGATGCAAAATATGAAGAAGAAAAAATAGAAATGTTCACTGTACTCAATAAACTGTCAGATTTTTAAGCTATTTTTATAAGGGGAGGGGAACTGTTCAAATTGACTGTTGTTCAGTATACATGTTTGAATATTTGTTTTTGCATCAATGTTATGACTTGTTTGGGATTTTTTATTTTATTTTGAAATACCGTAGTAGAATGAAGCTTGCTGAATTGTTAAATGTAAACACATTGTGGTATGGGTGTAAACCTTATCTAGCCTATTGGTTTATGTAAAATCATTGCCTTAATAGAGCAAGTGGTTCTCTGTTGTAAAACACTCAGCTGCAGATGTAACTTGCAGCTTTCACAGCTACGTTTTCTGTTATAGTCACAATGATGCTATGAGTTTTTGTTTGTTGGTTTGGATCTGCAGATCTATATGGGGATTTTTTTTTTCCCACATGTGAAAATTGTAAAACTACCTTCCTCACTTTTACACAAAACATCCAATAATAATCTAACAAAATAATGCTCTTTTAAGTCCTGTTGCTTTTTTGCTTTTTTTTTTTTTTTTTTCATAATATGGATTATGCACATTAAGCTGCTCACCTTATCAAGTAAAACACAAATTAAACTGATTTTTTTTTGTTCTCCATACTGGAATCTGAACTAAAGAGAAGCAATGAAACGGATGTATGAGGAGCCTCTAGGTGGCAACAGCCCTTAAGTATTGGATGTGTTTTCTGAACCATACCTAATTGTCTCTGGTTTGTATTATTTTGCAGCTTCTATACTGTTTTTGTATATTTTCCTTTAAAATCTGTCGCTTCTGATCTCTGAAAGTATATATGGATATATAAATATATTTATGCAAATTGTTGCTTGTCCATTTTTCTTTGTCACTCTGTTTCATGTTTTAAATAAAACTTTTGTTCACTATCTAAAACTTGAACACATGCTTTTAGCATGATTTTTAGTCAGAACGCTTCATTGGTCTCCATGGAAACTTGGTGGAGAACCGCCAAACCACTATAACCTCAAAGTGAG